CCCGGAAAATGGCGGATGCCACGAACGCAGCCTCTTCAGATACCGCCACTACGACAGACGATGATGGAACTGATGCTTGCCCTGGCTGCACTAAGAAGGCAGAGAACGCCACATCAACAGATGTTGCTACCGCAACCGACACTGATGGAACTAATGCGTGCCCTGGATGCACCAGAAAGGCAGAGAGCGCGACAGAAACAGCGACATCAGACATTGCCACTGCAACCGATACTGATGGAACTGATGCCTGTCCCGGCTGCACGAGAACCAAGTCACTGGATGCGACGGAGACCGAGCCATCTGACGCTGCCACTGACTCGGACGCTTCGACCGAGGCCTGTCCCGGGTGTACGAGGAAGATGACGAGCAACGCGGTTGAGACCAGCGCCGAGCCGAGCGACGTCTCGACGGAGGCGTGCCCAGGATGCACATGAGTTTAGATTGGAATCTCGAGCACGGAACTGTCAGGAAGCATTTGTACCTATCTAGCGTTGCTTAATGTTTGTTTTTCCTTTTCCATAGTTGCTGTACTCCCTGGGTTTCTCATTGCTTTGGATTAGGTATAGTCTTTATAGTCTTGATTTTGGCTGCTGGGGATTTCCGGCCATGACTTTGGGTATACAGGAGTCAGTTAAGCCTTTCAAATCTATTATAGAGGACCTATTATAGAAGCAATAGAATTATAGAACTACTGTAAATGTAAAGAGTGCAGTACAGACCATGACCCAAGTAACAATCATGTGAATACCCGTACACAAGTGGACCTTGAGGTAGCTCGGGAGATTTTGTGTCTTGATCATAACGAGGCCCGACTTCGGCCAAACATATTCGATTATATGCATTTTGATAGCCCGCCGTAACACCTATTCCTCCTGTTGTCAACAATTGTTAAACTATAAACCTGCTCGCTTCCTTCCACTTCTCTGATTCAATGTGCACACAACTAGCAGAAGACAAACTTTTTAAACCAGTTTGTTTGCCCTTGAAAAGGCAAAATGAACTGAAAGATCTCGATCATATCACCACAGGTCACAGTGGTGTAGTGGTATTTGCTTTGCTCCTCAGGAATCTTGTATTTCTAGCCTTCTCTCTGGATGGGTCCACCCTCCCCGAGTCTTTTTGTTTGGTCGCAATGTAAATCCTTGTTTGTTTTTTATTACTCTTCAATAATGATTATCCTCGTTACCGACTTCAAAACTAGGAAATGATCTTTCCGGACCTATCGTAGTTACTGCTAAGCGCGATGTACAACCATGACTATTCCTCACATTCACACTCAAGATCATGCCCTGATGAATTTCTCAGATGGGTTACCATCTATGCGTATTGATCTCCACTACATATCGACTGGATCTAGGGTCCCCGAGTTATAGGGCCATCAAACACAGGCATGCCGGCAAAACTCAAACCATTCCTGGTAGCTGACTACCCCTACTTGCCAGTGCCCTTTTGCTTGCAAGAGGTATCGCTAGCTTTCTTATTACCCCATGAATCAGTCTGTCCAATCTTGTTGAACTTTTCAGTGGTTTTCTTGCTGAGCACCTTGGAGTTGTTGTGGTGACCTCCTCCTCCATGGTGCCCACCTTTCGTGGAACTAAATGTCGAGCCTTGGGAATGCCCGCCTTTTGTACCTGAGCCCATGTGATCCATGGTTGATTGCTGATTAGTTGACGTCTTTACGAACTCTTTGCAGGTTCTTGACAGTCTTGGCTTAATAAGCATTCCACTATTCGCTGTACGGTTCAAGGTGTTCTACGCCGAGGTTGAGCAGTGCTTCTGGAATAAAAGAAGAATCAAAATGAACGATATGGCCAAGACTCGACTTAAATATGTGCATAAACAAACATTTGTGATTCATCTATGGTTTTGGAAACTTCGATCTAGCCAATTACTTCTACCTCACATTACTATCCGGCGTGATTCCCTCATTGTAAGTCCAATACCGGTCCGAATAATAAAATAACACCTGACTTTAAGACCCAAATACCATCTTGCCTGCACCGAATAGAAGAGAATAACATCGGGGGTGGGATAACAAGAGAAGAGGCAAGACCACCAAGAAGATTCGCCTATTCTGAAAGGGTTTCCAACAGCGACGTCGTTACGTATCGTATACATCCATCTTCCTGACGCCTTTAATAATCTGTACAGCAGATCCTAACCATCGGGAGTATTGGTACCTTCAAGACTCATGGTGATCCAACATGTGCTACGCCGAGAATTGCGACAGGGTACTTGGGCTGTGACCCTGAGGGAAGGAGTCGAATTATTTTGGAACAACGCGGCAGCCGAGCAGTCTCCCTCCGCAGCCCACTTGTCCTTGTTCAAGTTGCGCGAGGCTTGCAGGGGATCATGACAACGCACAAGATCTCCGGATGCTCCGTTTCCATGCCTCCTCATAAACTACTGATTCTTTCGCATCCTCGAGGATTAGAGTTCCGCACCGAGCACGCCTCAGCTTTCCGGCATTCTGAAGTGCATGCCATTCACGACGAGCGGGGCCGTTGACGTCCGATTGGTAGACCTTGCGCAAAACAGATGTGTTAGATTCGAAGACAATACGGGAATTTTGCTACTCTATTGGCGAAGAGTATGATGGATCACTTACGAACTCAACTGGAAAATTCTGCCCTGTAGCCGGATCGATACCCTCCCACTCGACGAGGTAATAGGCTAGCCTCTGTCCAACAATACGCCGTATTTTATACCAGCCTGGCTGCCCACTGGGAATGCCGTTGGACAAATCAGACAAGTCTTGTACTTCTATGACATTGTCAACAATGGTTGTGTCGAGATCTTCGATCGGCGAAGGGGATCCTCGAATTGCAATTACATCTCGACCAACATGGCTGAAGGATTCAGCATCCTCAAGGCTCCTTTTGATCGCGATTCGGAGGGACTGGCGTTGAATAGGGTTGACTTTGTGTATTGGTCGACGTATATTGCGAAGTCTTTTGCTGCGGCGCCTAGACTTTGCTTCTACTCCCATGTTGTTAAGCAGCCGAGAGTGAAACCCGACTGGGTATGGCAAAAGCGACCAGACGGACACAAAGTAGAGAGAGTAGATACAACCCTAGGCAACTGCACATTCAGCGTTCGTGCTTGACTTGTTCGGTGCGGCCAAGATGGTAGAGAAATCAATGGAAAATGAATTGTCTTCTTCTCGCCATAATATGGAAAGTCCATCAGGAAAGGAAACCGCCATGAACAACAGCGTTTTTGAAGCAATCATCTCTGACTAGAGGCAAGTACGGCGTCAGGGAAAGTACAAAGTGAAGGCGGATTGTTTCGATTGTCCCTATAAAGATGACCCAATCGTGACAAATTCCAAGCAAAACAGATAAACGATTGTTCAGATTTGTCGCAGGGAGAAACGGTCATATGTGTTTCACGTGTTGCTAGGTAGTTGGTAAAGGAAATCAAATTGGTGAGGCTGAAGCATCATATTACCAGCCATGGTAGTGAAAATTTAATGATGTATGCTGAGGCCAGGAAAGATGATGTATGGAGCGAGGGAGAAAAGTTCTTAAGTGTCTATCGTGGACCTCATCATGTACGTCTTGACTCTGGGGCTCGAACCAGAGGTCCGGAAGCTTGAGCTCAAAGAGCACATTCTACTACCTACGCGTGCCCCCCGGGATCACCTGCACTCAAGCCTGAGTCCAATGTGCGTTCGAGACATGCTATCTGAATGCATGTTTCCCACTCTGCAGAGCGTCAACCACCATTTTTACCCCGTCCATCCATAAATTAGTTGCGAGATCGTAGTTGCACCATCATTTTGGAGCGCCCTGCCGTTCGCCAAGCATCCACTTCCGAGCTGCTTGCTCAAAATGTCTCCTGATCATCCAAGCCCTCGCCCTCGGCGGGAATCTCGAATCCTTCTTCGGTAGAGTAGAGGATTGCCTGGATAGCCTTGACGAGACCATCTTCTTGCTTCTCCAGCTCGGGGTCCTCCTCCACAGCCTGCTGGACGAGTAACTCTATGTCTCTGAGCTTGCTGAAGTAGAAGTCGCGCTCACGCTCAAGGCCGACAACGGTCTCCTTCAGTGTGTTGTTCTCTTGTCGCAGAGCGGCAGAAGCGGCGCCGCCAGCAGCAGATCCAAGTCGCGGGCCGGTGGACGGCGTGGTACCTCCTCCAGTTCTGCGAGTTGCCGCACTGCTGGCCACTCTAGGACCAGTTCCAGTGGCAGGCATGGCACCGCCCTTTCGTCTCGAAACCGCATCATAGTCGCCTCCGGGGTAGTTCTGATCCCAGTATCGCTTGGCCCACTGCAGGAACTCAAGGTTGTCCTGCATCTTGCACTTGACTAGGGACTCGACGTGGATAGGCTTGTCGACCTTGTGCTTGGCAAAGGTGTCTGGGGACATGCTGTGTTAGTGGGCTAATGAGGGAGCGCGCGTAGACCTGGCAGGACCAAAGTCTCGGAGGAGACTTACTCTGCAGCACCTTGAAGTTTGTAATGTAGGCATATTCGGTGTTGACGTTGAACTTGACGCGGGACATGGGAACATCGAGGAAGATGCTGTCAAAGACCTGGCAGAGCGCGGCGCTATCATGTTCGGATCTGAGTCAGTTGTGATGCTCTTCACGACAAGCCGGGACGGCACCAACAGGGGTTGCGACGATGGGCAGCGTCGCGGGGGAGGGGCAGATTTTCCTGTCTGTTGGCTTTATTTATTTACTTACCCAGTACCGCACTGCTCAACCTTTGTGATGTTGAGCTGGAGGAGGCTGTTCAGCCATGCAATGAGTTCCTGTCTGTCTGTCGGGTTAGCCAGGCGCGTTTGCGATAGTCGGGGTCGTCGGGCAGAGGCTGTGAGGTCATGGGCACGCACCTGGATTCGCCCATGTTTGCGGATCAACAATAGGAGGCAGACAAAAAGGTAAGAGTCGGGAACTGCGGGGGGAAAGGGTGGGAAGAAAAGAAGAAGGCAGAGCTTCTAGGCAGAAAGATTATTAGAAGGGCGTATGTTGTTGTATTGGCAGTAGGTAGCCAGTTCGGCAAGGAGAGTGTGAGAGTTGGATGTGGGTTGAGATAGCAGCAATCAAAGGCAGGCTGCCGCGATGGCATCAATTTCGTTGGCAATCCAAATTTCCTGGAGCAGCTGGCGACGCTATCACCCAATCAACCAAAAACAAACTGAAGCCGCTGGGCGCCTTTGAACTGATGGTGGGGTAAATATTGGGAGAATTGATGGATGCAAGGTACGGAGGTACTTTGGGGAGCTTGCCTAGCGTCTGGCGTTCAGTCAATAGCGTCGGCCAGGGTGCTGACTAACATTGGACTGATCCATCACTTTTCAGCCTTTGCAGCTGGCAAGCAGCTTCTTCGGCTTCTAGAAATCAAGCACCCCAGCTGGGGATCTCCAACCAGCAGCACGTTCAACTTTAGGGGTTCAACTGGAGAGACCAGCACGGTTCCGTTTTGCTCTCTCTTAGGATCCGCATCTCTGTCTGTGTCCTAACCTATATTTCATCGTCTTATTACGGTTCAGGCTCGTTGGGAGTGAGCAGCTGGTTGCAAACCAAAAACCACATTCGATCGGGTGCAACAATACAATCGTGTGCTTACAACTAAGGGGCCCTCATGGTTGGCGCCGTCGCCTTGTTGGTCTTCACTACCTGCCAGTTTCAGGGCCCGCCGTTGATAAAATCCAATCAAAGTCGCTCTTAGGACTGTGGCTGGCTATAGCCAAACTTCAATTAGATCAAAGACAGTTTGTACTGGCTTCAAGCAGACCGTTCTGTACTCCTTTTGGTGTAGATTGAAGTATATTCTTGCTGACTAGGCACCCAATTCCCCTCTGATATCATCATGGGCCGCCCATACTTCATCCCCAGCTTTGCATTGCAGTCCTCGATCCGCTTCGCTTCCTCTAAGATTCAGCATCATGCTCACTTCCATATTCTCAGATTCACAACTGAAGCACTCTTATCAATACAAATTTCTCTTTTGACTGTGAGTATATTCAGAAGATTGCCCGGCATGGCTAAGTTCATCCTAGCTCCCATCTGTGAGTCAATCAATACCCAAAAAAGGAAGGAAAACTTGATTCGTGGTGCGAAAGACATCATGTTTGGCACCAGTCAAGTCAACTCGTCGAATGAGGCTGCGTCTACACGGCGCAGCCCCCGAGTCCGTGGTTTCGTTTCCTTGTCCGATCGAGAGGAAGCTATTGCGGCTAGCCCTTCGGAGTTCATGATGTTATGCATCGCGAGAGAACTCACGGATGCTGGTGACCGCTTGGACGCCTGGAAATGGAAATGGCACGAAGAGGAAATAAGACAGCCAGACTCAGAGCCGGATATTTACCATTCGTGCTTTCCAGAACTGATATTTTGCCGGAGATGCTCGTCAGCCAAAGGAGTGGTAAAGAAGTGGTCCATGACGGATGAACGGTGGTATTTCACCTGCGCAAGTTGTAATGATCCGTCGACACAGATGGAACTTATTTGCTGGGATGACGATGTAGGTGTTTTACCTGACAACCCGTTGTGTGATTGTCAACTGCCTTCACGGAAACAGACAGCCGTCTTTTGTATACCTGCCGGAAAAGAATATTTGTGTTGTGCTGTGGGCGGGTGTGACTTTTGGAAATGGAATGATCAAGTTGAGTCGCTTCACAGCGACCTGGAAGTCCTCTCCCTAGGACAAGTTGCCTGACCCGGCGGATCATTGTCAACAGCGGCTGGTCTTTCGAAACGCTCTACTTGACTCTAACTTGGCAGGTCTGAATTCTTGTATCACTACTTAATTTACTGATTACCGGCGATCTGTAAACTGTTTAAAACGTAGGTAATATCAAAAGTAAATACTGGTGTTGCAATATACCGAACTGACTGATATACCTATTCCAATCTCAAGCTCCAAGATGACGAAGATGATGCTAGTGAAATTGGGGCACAATTTACACATATAATATGACCAGCAAGGTGAAAATGTATCTAGATTCCGACGTGATGGACACCTCACACCTCTTCGGGAGATCTGGCAATCATTTGGTTCAAATATCTTCATGCTCAAGTAGTGTCCCATACTTCCCGATAAGACGAGGCTGAACCGCGAGCAAAATACCTTTACGCAGCCCTTCCGCATAGACCAAAAGCATGGCCATGATAACCATCCCTGAAATCCGATATACTGTACAAAGTGGAACGCCTGAGATCGCTGCCAGTTCATATCTCTCCACCTCGCCTACCCCACGTTCGCCACAATCCCCTACAAAGTTCGCCCGACATACTTTGGAACTCTTCATGAATACCATCAATTCCTATCAAATCGATATTCTGTGAATGCGAAAAACCCTCTCTCTTAGAGATGGCTTGTGGCCGCTCAACTTGCATCCGCATTGTTGCCACATATACAAAAGCTCTGCCTTTGTTCGTCACCTCCCAAGTGGCTCCAATCGCATGATGCACGGGCCTCAACGATCTTTGGCCTTATCGCAAAAAGTTTCGTCTTCTTCAGACAACAGTGCACAGGTCCGGGCAGCGCAGCACACAAGGTCTCAACTACGCTCTGGCAGGATCAGCAAAGCAAAGAGACATTCCTCGGGTCATAGGCGCGCCAGGTCCAGATCCGTGATCATCATTGAGTCGGACGATGATGTCCCCCAAAAGACAAGACCCAGCAGGGCTAGCAGTATCGACTCTGTTATATTCATATCGGCATCAAGCCCACCCGCAGCTTCACAGGGCGATGACAGTCCTGTATTGAGTCAAGAGGAAATTTCAGCTAGTCCGTCCCAGTTCATGAAGTTTTGTAGTTCGCGCGGTCTTGACAACCCCGACGAGCGCTTGAAAGCGTGGAAAGAGAAGTGGCGCCTCGAGGAAGAACACAGAGAAGAAGCAGAACCGGAGCCAGAGATACACCATCCTGGCTTTCCAGGAGTTCTCATAAAGTGCAATCGTTGCGATTCGGCCAAGGGAGTGGTTACGAGAGTATCCTCGAGGCCGGGCGGGATCAACGAGGGACGGAAATTCTTCAAGTGTGAAAAGTGTTCCCGTAAACCTGGAATGCGTCAAGCATTTATTTGCTGGCAGGACCTCGAACATGTTTCGAGTGACAATGGGTTCTGTGAATGTGGTCTTCCAGCACGCAGAGAGATGACAAATTCCACCAAGCCAAGAGGCAGAGAGTTTATGTGTTGTCCTGTGGGGGCGTGCGGCCATCAGAGATGGCTGTGGGTAGATGAATACACACTGATGGATAGGCAGGAAGACTTTCAGATGTGGAACGCGACGCAGTATTCTGGGGTTTGAACATGTGCGCGTGGTTTGAGGAAAGACTTATCAAAGCTAGTCGTCTTTGCAAAATGCTCGATCTCTTTCTTCGGTTGAATGTCACATTGTAAAAAGTATGAGAGGGTCAATAACGAGCTGTGAGATTGAGATTGAGTGTTTGGTTTGGTATCTGTTGTTTATGATCCCGTGTGTTGAAATGCCTGACAAAGTTGGACTGGGAGTGGAGGATTACCTTCAATCACAGCTAGGTTACCTACTTCTTCCCATTCATCCAGCCAATTGCAGGGTTCAGGGATATCTCCATTTCTTGTTCCCTTTCGAAAATACCCATTTTAATTCTGAAATTCGAGCATCGCTTACAAATAGAGTCTCAGATCCTGAGCCGCCAACAGTATTAGTGATGTACTAACTAGCGGATTTAGCGGACTTTCCCCTAGCTAGGTACAACACAGGCGATAATTTTAGGTGTATATAATGTGAGACGCTTTGCACAGCTACTGACATCACCATTGTAAATAACAAACCACGCTTTGTCCTATCATCAATAGACCCTCATACCCAAAGAATCGTTGAAATGTCAGCCATAACCAAAACAATTGTTGCAACCGGTGCATCGTCCGGTCTCGTATGCCCTCATCTAGCCCTCTGATCATAGAGACCAGCACTACGCCGCCTAGCTCAGTGCTAATGACATTCAGGGATTTGAAGCCATCAAGCTGCTTCTATCGCAGTCTCAGCCGCACAGGTTCATTCTCGGCGCACGCGATGTCAAGGGCACGCAGGCTGCATACGATGCATTGAACATTGACCGTGCAAAGCACAGTATTTCCCTCTTGCCATTGGACCTTTCGGACCTGCGCAATGTCAAGTCGTTCGCGCAACAGACCCTGGAGCAGCTGGGTCAAGATAAACTGGACACACTCTTCCTCAATGCCGGCTTGATGAAAGCCGCAGAGAATCCTGGTCCGCACGGTTCGAAATGGTGTGATGCCCTTGTGGTCAATCACTTGTGTAAGTCCTGCCCTGTCAACGTCCTGTCGAGGCAATTCGCCCGTGGGTAGTGTTTTGGCTGATCCATATGCTATGAATCAATAGCGCAGCACTATCTCGTTCATCTCTTGAGAGAGAAGCTGACGACTTCGCAATCTCGCGTCGTCGTCGTATCATCTGGAGCAATCCGAAATCTGCGAGACAACGATCCGAGTAAGACTCAAAACGTCCTCAATTCTTGAAAATATTTCCCACTAACCAGCATTACAATGCAGAGACTCTTGACGTGGATCTCGTCGCCAACTCTGGTGCGGCAGCAATGGTAACATATGCGGCGTCAAAGTTTACTCAGCTCTTGGGCGCGCATTACTGGCGCCGACAATTGGGCAGCTCGGCCACCGTCGTCGCAGTGTCGCCCGGCTTAATTCCTGGCACTGGCATCGGTCGCAATTCCGACGTGGTCATTCCCTCCAACGTGCCTGATGCAAAGTCTGTCCAAGAAGGTAATTTGGTCACCTGTTGTCCCTGTTTCTCTGGTTACCTGAAAGTCTCTGGCTAATATTTTCCTCTAGGTGCCCAAAATCTCCTCAATGCATTTGACAGAGACGACCTGCCATCTGACCCAAACCAAATCTTTCTTACTAGCTGGGGCGAATGGTGGCCTACAACAGTGTATACTCCATCTCTGGACCAAGCCCTTCAGGATAAGTGGTGCCCTTCTAAAGATGACATTGAGAAGGAGGCTGGTATTAGTTCATAAACCGTCATTTAATCATCGCATCATCAATTGAACAAATAATTTTGGCATTTACATCGGATGAAATACAGACGGGTACGAAAATCATGGATAGAATCGAGTCGACAGGAGCAGCCTCCACTCCATCAATCAACTAGACAATGATCGTCAGTGTCGATGAACCCATTAAACTACAGGAAATACCCTCACAGGGCCCTTGGACACAACTCCACCATTGGACCCTCTGCATACCCAAGAATGCAATCGTGTATAGGGTATTCATCCCCTCTTATTCCAGTGTACCCCAATTTCGACATGGTCCTCTTATGCTCAATACCTTCGTCCCTTACAACTAGATCGTAGTTGTAAACGAGATGAAACAACCCTGCATGCATGGCAAGGTAAGCAATCATCTTTCCGGGGCAGGCCCGGGGCCCCTTCAAAAATGGGTTGAAGGCGGCTATGGTCTTGGGGTCAATCGGCCTCTCTAGCCAGCGCTCAGGGACATACTCGTCGGGGCGCGGGAATATGGCAGGATTGCGGTGCATCGCATAGGTTGATGTTCCTACCGACATGCCTGCCGGCACTGGTATACCATCCACGATGATGCCTCCTTGGTCGACCTCTCTGGGCACGCTGCTGGCTACCGGTGGAGTGAGCCGCATCGTCTCGTCGAGACACGCACGGAGGTACTTGAGCGAGCTCAAAAGGCCATCTGTGACGCGGTCCGGGTCATCGACACAGCTGCGTATCTCTTGTTTTGCTTTCTCAAAGGCTTCTGGGTGTCGGCCCCAGTAAAACAGAGTAGCTCCAATAGTCAATCTCACAGCATCACTTCCCGCCGCAATGAGCAGAGAGCTGTCGGCTCTCAGGTCAATATCGCTGTATAGGTTTGCTTGGATGAGACGCCCGAATAGATCTTCAGGCCCGTTCCCTAGAGCCTTCTCATCGGCCATTCTGTCGGCTCTCTGTTTGACTTGGCTTTCAGCGAGGTCTTGATATCTTTGTGCCTCAACAGCATCTCCCATTCCCAGCCGGGAAGGCCAATCACTGCCCATGAACCAACGCATAACCTGCAAGGACCTCGCAAAGCCTGCCCAGTACAAGAATGTGCTAGCGTACTGTAAGCATTTGGGCACCCAGCGAAAGTCGGGTGAGTGAAGCATGTTCAACGGCTTGCCAAAAGCGATAGTGCTTATCACGTCAAACCCAAACCAGGACGCTGCCTTGTTGATGTCAAGGAGACCATCATTCACATTGGCTTCGTTCCACGCAGCGGCCGCAAATTGCTTCGCCAGGTCATTGATGATGCGGAAAGCCCGCTCGCGAGATGGCATCATCCGATCTAGGACCTTGCGACGAGCCGCGTGTTCTTCGTTGTCCTGTGTCATTTGGAGGCTCTGGCCGCCTTCCGGCCCGCCATCCAAAAGACCATAGAACTCATCGCCCTTGAACAAATTGGCGGACTTGGTATGAATAGTCTGAAGAGCCGAAAGAGTATCAAAGGACAACTACATCATTTCATGTAAGCATGACTCTCCCCATTTCTATGGGACAGGCACCTGTATAGAAGGAGCCAATCTGCTTACTGAGTCGGGACCAAGGCGAACGACGCTCCCTGAGCACTGAAGTTATTACTTGCGAGATAAGAGCAAAGAGTGATGGAATGTGTTTAGTATTACACACCATATTTTCTGTGAGCCTCGATCTCAGATATATGTCGATTGCCGCAGCGACATTGCCAGATCCTCGGGAGCCCTGAAATGCGTTGAAGGAATGGTCCCGGCACCCCAGCGAGAGGGTGAAACCACAAACGGTAGATGACGACGCCAAGTAACTGGTCTTTCAGCGGCCCGGGTCTCATACGCACCTTGTAGAACTTGACTTACAGTGGTTCCAACGACCAGGGCACTTCCGTAGACCAGCTTCGTGCTCAAAAGCACCCAAAATTGTCTCAAGATCTGCTCCATTGGTGTTGATTCGTTCTTGAAATATTTGGTTGAAATGTGATGTTAAAAGCTGAATTCCCAGGAAAGGAGGACATATTCCTACCTAGTACGTAGATAAGCAGCTTCACAGCATATACCCAGATTCATGTCAGCGATTGCGGGGAGCAAGCACATGTAAGTTGAGACCAAGCTATACCCTAAAATATCACCAGAATCCCCCTCCACGGCATCTGCCGAAGGCAATACTCAGCGTAGAATATGCAATATTCCTGCAGTGCTACGTATAGTGAGTGTGATTTGCCACGAAAATCCTGCACTCTTCGTTTACCCTGCGCGCCCAGCTATCTGAACGCGCCTAGGGAGAGTGCTTTCTCCACAGCTTCGTGGCGTCAAACGTGCGGGAAAATTGGTAAATCTCTCTTTGAATGGATATCGTCATATAGGAACAATGATATGCTTCAGGATATGGATAAGCGCTCGCACTGCATATGCAGTACAACCTCATCGTCTGCCCCGTTCGCATAATTGAGGCCTAGTGCTATCTTCAGCCACCGATGACAATATCGACGCATGCAATGTGATAGATCTTGGGCACACTTAAGACGGATTGTTCAGTCCAGCAATAGTTCGCAGTAATGTGCAACTGATATGCTTCCACTGCGGATGCATGCCATACCTGCCACATCCTAAGCAATTTTGCAGAGAGTGTACAGAACTTGACTTGATATTTCTCCCAAATTTGGAAAATACGATGCCACATAGTGACCAAGATGCTTTAGGCGTAGAGGCCTCGGTGCGGAACTCTGAAAAACAATACCCCGTTCATGATGTGGAGGTGGAAAGCGATCCAGGAGGAGGTCTAGTCGAGGTAAGTGGACCGCAAAGATTGCCAACAGATCCAACAGCTCACCCTGTACAGAACTACATATCCTACCTTCCCACCGTCTACTTTGGTTTCACCTTGCAAGCCTGCTGGGAAGCCGTCGGCCTCTCGCTGCAGCTCAACCTCCTCAATGGTGGACCGGCTACACTTGTTTATGGAGGCCTTCTCACCAGCGCTGGGTCCATTTTCATTGCGCTCTCGCTTGCCGAGATGGCATCCGCCGACCCGGCAGTAGGGGCTCAGTACCGCTGGTCTGCGAGATTCGCGCCCTTTTCGCCGCGCTTCTGGGGTCTGTTCCAAGGTTGGATCACCGTCTTTGCCTGGATGACGAGCACCGCCGCCAGTCTGGCGTACCTGGCGCAGAGCCTGCTGAGCGTCGTCGTGCTGTGGTATCCCGACTATGAGGTCCTGCCGTGGCAAAACGCCTTGGTCATGGCCGCCTTCTGCATCCCGCCCCTCGTCGCCAACCTGTGGCTCAAGCGCATCGTCGTGGCCATGGAGTGGATCGGCGCACTGGGCCACGGCGTCTTTTGGGTCGCGAGTATAGCAGTGCTGAGTGCTCTCGGAACCAGAGGTAGTCACGCGGCCGTGTGGGCGAACCTGACGACGGGCGTGAGCGGCTGGGACCAGCCCGGCGTTGCCTTTGGCATCGGCATCCTGCCCCTCGCCTTTCCGACCACGGGCTTTGACGGCGTCATCCACATGAGCAAGGAGGTCAAGGACGCCAAGCGCAACGTGCCGGCCGCCATCATACTCTCGGTTCTTCTCAACTGCTTCATGATGTTTTCTTGGCTCGTCGTGGCGGCATACTATCTGGGTGATGTCGACTCACTCGCAGAAGCACCGCTCGGTGTAGCTCTCGTGGGTTTATACATGAATGCCACAAAGTCCAAGCCGGCGACGACGTTCCTCGTCATGTGTCATGCATTCATCTTGTACGTGTCGCTCGCCAACATTTTCGCTTCCGTGGCGAGACTCACGTGGGCTTTTGCCGAGAATAAGGGGTTGCCGTTTTCGAGGCACATTGTGCATGTAAGTTTTATTCCGGCAAGAAACTTGTCGCCGTTGGAGGGATGATAAACTGACAAGCCTTCCTAGGTATCCAATCGTTTCAAACAGCCGTTACGTGCGCTTTTTCTCGTTGTAACCGTTTGCGTAATATTATGCATCATCTCCATTGGCAGTACCGCTGCATTCAACGCCATGATTTCCCTCCCGCTTATCGGACTGTACATCTCATACGGCATCCCAATTGTATTTTTACTCACTTTGAGGCTTCGAAACCGCGTACCAAAACTTGGCCCCTTTAGTCTTGGGTCCTTCGGGACCCCGGTCAATGCCTTGGCTGTAGGCTACATATTGTACGTTTTGAGCTTTGCCGCACTCCCTACGGTGCTCCCAGTCAGCTCGGAGAATATGAATTATGCAGGACCACTTGTTCTTGCGGTCATGTTGGCTGCCGGCGCAGATTGGTTCGTCTCTGGTCGAAGGCGCTTCGAGTTGCCAGAAACTGCTCCCACATCTGAGTAGATTTTGCTCAAGGAGCTCGCTAGCTACCGGATTTGAGATTAAAGATACATAGTAAAGACATTAACATAAGCAAGAAGATATCAGATATCAAATATATAAGTATAGATTGGCTATATACAATGACCATGTACGCATCGATACCTAGAAGAAGTTTTCCTGCACGATCAAGTAGTGTACCTAAATAGCGGCGACCTATCTCCCATGCGAAAAAGTTCATCCTCAGAATACTTGGAGCGGATATCAAGCTCGGACATATTGGCTCTCTTCTTGTTAGACCAGACATAGGATGCCTCTAGGACAAAGGACATGAGCATGCCTGTAACTCCAAAGGCAATGGCAAGTCCGTAGCCCGTAAAGTAAGAAGGGCTCTCTGAGTCAAAGAACATGTATGACCCGATAATGCCACCAATGTTACCAGTCGCGATGACAAAGGCCACACCAATAGCCCTGCGCGACGATGGGGCCAGATTGTTTGCCGCCCATGAGCTGCATGCCGGTTGGACAGGGTAAATACCCATACATGCTAGGATAACGGCGAACATGCTAGCGCCGACATGGCCAGGCAGGTCTCCCTTGAAGGAGATGATGATACTGTAGCCAACTGCAATCATACCCAATGGGATGGCGACGAATGGCATGCGCCAATAGAAATGGTCCGAGAGCCGGGCAAAGAAGATGGCGGAAATGGCGCCGGCGATATATGGAGGCACCGTCATCAACTGAGCATTGGTGTTGGTGAAGCCCATGGCTTTGGTAATTGATGGGAGTGTAAATTTGTTTCCTATTCCACAGGTTAGTCCGATCATACAGATGTGCCCCAAGACGAAGGATTCACTCACCATAGGAGCAAGCCGAGATGCAAAGAAGGATGTAAGCCTGACCCCACATGCGAGGGTTTGTGATGACTGCCTTGAAGTCTTGCCAGTGATGCCCACGCTCGTTTTCTTCCGTGGACCGGCCACCCTGCTTGATGAAAAGCTGTAGCTCGAGGTATCGGATCTGATCCGGGCTGAGCCACCTGTGTGATAGACTTGGGGAATCAATGAGAAGTGCAAAGCATGCAACTCCCAGCACGATGGTCAAGATTCCCTCCAAGATAAAGATCCACTGCCATCCGCGAAAACCTCCAACACCGTCCATCTCGGCGATGCCCGCCGCGAGAAGACCAGAAAAGGCACCCGATAGCGCACTGAAGCAGTAAAATACAGAGATGCGTGTTGCCAACTCTTTTGGCATGTACCAGAAAGTGCAGAGGTAAACAGCACCAGGGTAAAAGCCAGCCTCGAGAATACCCAGCATCATGCGAACCACCATGAGTCCGGCAAAGTTCTTGACGAAGCCATGGCACATCATGATGATGCCCCATGAAGTTACCAGAGCTCCAAGATAAACTGAAGGCCTCTTGAACTTCTTCAGCAGAATATTGCTGGGAATTTCAAAAAGAATATAGGGGATGAAGAACAATGACAGGGCAATGTTGTATTGTAGACCTGTGAGTCCGAGATCCGTGTTCATGCCCTCAATTTTGGCATTGCCAATGTTGGCTCGGTCGAGTTGAGAAATCAGGTACAAGACGGATAGCATGGGTACGAGCCGGACATCGACCTGAGAAGAAGTGTTAGCAGTGCTTGCAAAGAACGAGAATGCTATGAGCGCAGAGGGACATACCTTTCGAACCAATGTCTTGCGGTCCTTGTCGGTAAAGCTCTCGTAAAACGAAGCATCTTCCGCTGTCAAACCAACGACTCTGATGTTATCAATGGTCCGCACTCCTGAACCCTTGTCCGCGTCACTGCGGCTGTCCTCTTCTCTGTCGCCCACCATTACGATTTCAGGCTTGTCTTCCGCCATGATTTGCAAAGGTTGGCCGCTGCGAGGTCTTAGTGGACAGATGAAGGCCTAGTTACAATAGAGGCAGAGAAATGAGCTTCGTTTTCAATGAAAAGAAGTGATGTTGTGGAATGGCCTAGAGCATATCTTGGTCCTGGAGTTTTCAGAATGACAGATAACCCTGTGGTCATCCCTCATTATATTATACATCTCTTGAATCATGGGCATTGTGACCGTTGGTGCTTGGCGGCTCCAGCGGTATGGTTCTCGGTCTCCTTGGGGCCATGGCCAAGAGCATGTAGTTTGCGGGGCCCCGCGAAAACCAAGACCTCATACGACAAACTCAACGGTTGGTCTTGTCTTACTAGTCGTGTCGGATTTTGCTCTGATCGGTCATGTTTAGAATGGTCATCTTATCTGGCGCCATAGGCAGTCAGGATAGGAGATAGTTCGCGCACACCCTGCCGAGCTGGGTTAGATCTCACCCTCTCCGCATTCAGCCCCGGTTCTCTTTCGCTGGCTCCGCTTCCCCGCAGGTCAACCTTCTGTCGTCGGATAAAGATCTGACAGGTCCCTCGCAACCTGGCTGCGTCTGCGTCTGAATAGTATCCAGGGTGAATGAATGACCGCGGCCCCCATAGCGGTTCTATTCGGCTTCAAGGTCCAATCAGGGATCCTGGCGGTCAACATCACCACAACCGTCTGCGAATCAGAGACGTTTCCAGCGTCTTCCATCCCCGAGCCCCAACGAGTCAATGACTTTTGTTCAGATGGCCCGTGATTTTGAAATATTCTGATGTCAGAATCAGTCGGTCATGGAGACTCCGGAGAAGGACTCGGAAGCAGCCCGAGTGATGTAGGAACATCCCGGCAAGAGGCGGCGCGAGACCTCGGTCATGATGGACCTGGTCATGGGAAACGCCCCTTCTCCGGCCTGGTCGGCGGCGCTCGAAAAAAGCGTAAGGGGGTCAAGGTGACACGTGCCTGCGATACCTGCAAGAGGCGCAAGTCGAGGTGCTCGGGCACGATACCTTGTGACAGCTGCATCAAGCGTGGTCGCCCGCGAGACTGTCACTATCATGCAGAGTATCGTCGAGGGCAGTTGGTAACACCGGTGCAGTCGACGTTTCCACGCAGTCTCGGCGCCGAGAACCGCGAGTCCACTCCCACGCGACGCCAAGAACGTTCCCCAGATTGCAGTACAGCGATCGACACTGATAGCAATGTCAGAATTGAGGCTGCAGTGTCACCTCATACAATGGAGGTCTCGATGAATGCAGTCGATATGCCCGCTCCCTTGAGCGAGCACAACACCGCTGCGCCGTCTAGAGCCTCACCCGAGCTCGAAGTGGCCGAGATCCAGGGCCAATTATTCGATACAACGTCTGGGCTGGCGTTCGTACATAGAGCCTTTCGAAGGCTATCTCAGAGTCACACCCATCAAGTCAGTCGGCCGCTGCCTGACTTTGCCGGTGAAGCTGAGAATGAAGAGAGCCCGACCTTGACTGTAGGCGACAAGCCGATTGGAGTCATTAGTCCGGGAGACGTGGAACTCCCGACGATGAAGAGAGCCCTTGAGCTGGTCTATCTGTACTTTGATGTTTGCATTGCCACGTATCGCTTTCTTCATCTCCCGACGGTCGAAAAATGGCTGCAGGTAATGCTCAATAACAGAAGAGAGGGACTGCAGTTACACCAGGGACTTGGCCGTGCCAAAGCCGCAATCCTTCTCACCATGTTGGCAATCGCAACCGCGCACGAAGAAAAAGCATCCGGCCATTTCCAACAGGACGAGGCAGCTTCAATGAGTCGCATCGACAGCTTGTTTTCTACTGCTAGCTTCTTGATCCAACACGAGACGGCCCGGCCCACCCTAGAGTCAGCACAGGCACGCGTTATACAAGTAATCTATCTGCTCACGACGTCGCGGATGAACCAAGCCTGGTATACCTTTGGCACAGCCATTCAGCTCATATCTGCTCTGGGTCTGCACCGAAAATCTGGAAAGAGACGCCTCGATGCGTCCACCGAGAACTACATTGTTGTCCAGTGCCGAAGAAGAACCTTTTGGACAGCCTATATTCTCGACAAGTATCTCGGCGTCATATTCGGTCGACCGAGGCATTACAACGATGACGAAATAGATCAAGAGATGCCAGACAGTATAAACGACGAAGATATGACTCCCAATGGAGTTAAGGACGGATACAAGCGCGGCAGAAAGGATTGTGCCACAGATGCACTCATATTCCATTCAAAGATAGCGTCAATTCTAAGTGATGCTGCCAAGACTGTTTACTCTATAAAACAAATACCCCGACAAGACCGCATTGCTGCCGCCAATCGTTTGAGTCAAGAGCTGCGACAGTGGAAGTCATCTCTGCCGCCCCATCTAGGCTCCATCTCCCCTTCAAGCTTGATACCCAGATTTCGGCGTCAAGCGACGACACTCAAGATTGCTTATTCGCACGCCACCATGCACGTCAACCGATTGTTCCTGTTGGGCCGCATGAGTGCCGGAAGTGAAACACAGATTCGAGAAGCAATCATTGCTGCCAACACCGTGCTGGAAACAGTGGATGAGATGGTCGCCGAAGGCGGGACAATATTTCACGCCTTCTGGTGGACTCACTATGTCACCTTTTGTGCCCTCGCTATTGTCTATGCTTGGGAAATCCAGTCTCGAAAAGGCCACCTAGATCTCTTCCCTGACAATAGCATAGACCGTGCTGATCTCATGGAGCTGGCAGACCGCTGCCAACGGCATCTAGCCCAGGCCACTGCTTCCAACTCACCTAGTAGGAGATATGCATTAATTCTGGATAAGCTGCGAAAGGAGGTGACACGAAGTGGCTTGAGTAGTGACGACCAATCTGGAAGCACGCAAACTCATCGAAATCTGACTAGTATCACGTCACCGCATGCCGCTTTCCCGGGATCTGCACATATAGCTAGGCCCAATGGCCAGGACGGCTCATACAGTCTCGGAATCAACGTGTCGAGCCCACAAACCAATTTTGGCCAACCGCTTGACGGAGTAAACTGGTCTATCCAGGACTGGCAGAGCGAGGACTGGCTGAATCTTGACTCAATGGTAAGAAAAAGAATAAAACGCAACGAGTTTCACGCAGCTAACAATTACCCTGCAGGCTTTCGGGACTTTTCCTGACAATCAAGATGCTCCATTCATATGGCAAACAGGTCAGGCGGTACAAAATCTGATTCCACATTCCTGATTTGAGGAGGAAATACTTGTAAAGATTAACGAAATGAAATGAACAAACAGAGTGAAGGATGAGATACATGATCTAAGTAATGAAATCAATCCACTAAGGCCAAGGTGCACTAGAAATTTTATATATGAAACAATCACATGTCGAAGTCAGTAAAAGCCTAAGTGATGTATTTGATTACATGTTTATTTATACCATTTCTATTTTAGACCCTGAGACAGCTGAGACCGAGCCATTCAATTTACACGTTAAACTTTTGCAAGTTTTCAGGTGCAGCCTCCTTGGCTATCCTCTTGACGGTATCCTCGCCAAGCTCCTCAAAAATGTCATAGCCCCATCTCGACTGGACGTTGAAGCGCTTGTGCTTCTCCAGAGCATTAATGGCAGCAAAGTTCTCGGCGGAGAGCTCCTGCACCTTGAGGTTGGACTCGATCCGGCTCGCCGTGACGCTCTTGCTGAGGGCCACGGTGCCGCGCTGCACGGCCCACGACAGCACGAGCTGCGCCGTGTCGAGGCCCGTGGCCGCGGCCAGGTCCTTGACCTTGGCGTCGTCAATGACCTTGGGCTCGCCCGTCTGGTTGTTGCCCAGGGGCGAGTAGGCCTCGATCAGGATGTTCTTGGACTTGCAAAACTCGACCAGGGCCGGCTGCTGCAGGTACGGGTGCGCCTCGATCTGGTTCACCGCGGGCACGACTTTGGTCTTGGAGAGCAGGTCTTGCAGCTTGTTGACGGTAAAGTTGCACACGCCAATGGCCTTGGTCTTGCCCGTGGCGAGAAGCTTCTCCATGGCGGCGTAGGTCTCGACGTAATCAATGTCTGCGAGGCTGAACACTCCTTCCTTGTCAAGGGGAAACCACTTGTCGCTAGGCTCGAAAGCACTACAAAATGTTAACATTCAGTGTACCAGCTAAGGCAGGTTTATATTTGACTTACACTGGCCAGTGAATCAAGTATAGATCAACATAGTCGGTTCCAAGATCCGCCAGCGTCTTGTCCAGGGCCGCCTCGACATCCTCCGGCTTGTGCTTTGTATTCCACAACTTGCCAGTGATGAAAATGTCTGACCGCGGCACGCCGCTCTGCTTGATACCCTCGCCGACTGCAGCTTCGTTGCGGTAGATGGCAGCACAGTCAATGTGTCGGTAACCAGTCTTGAGCGCTGTCTTGACAGCCTCAATGACCTCGTGGTTGGGTGCTTGCCACGTGCCGAATCCAACTGCAGGGATCTTGGCGCCCGTGTTGAGGGTGAAGTGGGTGGGCAGAGGCATGATGAACAAGGACCTATGGATAGTATACTTGAAGCTGGCTGAAGGCGTTCTGGATGAAAAGCTTCAACGAAGGTGAGTTGTGTGTATGTACAAATTTGCCCAAGACTGAATTCACCACGAAGCAACGTCGACTTTTTGTCTACGATGACGATGGGGAAGCGGGACGCTGGTCGCTCATCTCGGATAACGAGAGCTCTCATCGGGACCGGTGCAACGGGATATCCCCTCCGTGACCGGCTCCGCAGGTTGTTACGGACCTCTTCCGTGCTTCTCCGGCTCCTGCCCCGGATTTGTCTTGCATAATTATGCATCGTGACCCCTGGCGATACGGATTTCAATTTGATTGGCTATAAGGCTTGGCGGATACTGCTATGATTGGTCGCTATTCTAGCAATAGTAGACCCACACTCGCGCTCACATCGTCATGCGACTTTTCATGGTCAATTCAAGCTTTCGCCAGCTAAGATTCATTCCAATGCCAATTTAGGAAGTACGACCATCTTAGCCAGGTCTCTGTGGAGGCTTCTATTAGTTTTCGGCTCAGGGTCATGGTCATTAGTAAATCCGAGCGTGCTGGTGTGCGGCTTTGAAATACCGAGCCATCTCCAGCCAAGTTGGCATCGATTTACGGTTAGAATCATCGGGACTAGGCAAATCAGCCAAGTCAATACTGTATCTTTCCTTTCTACTACCAAGACTTATCAATCGAAGCCTTTGTTTCCTGGACTACCACTCACTTGTCCATGCCTCCATTCGCGGTGCCAGCCATAGATTCCTATCAATAAGCTCTCATGGCACCAACCGCAGCCGTCGCAACTCCTTGGAGTGCGACTAATCTTTCGAAGAATGCTTTTGACCTGTCATCCAAAAGCCAGAGCTCCGCAACAACACAACACATTGAAATAGATGATTCCTCACTCCAAACCGTCGATGCATTGGTTCGATCGCGGGCAACAGCCTTCCCACATGTCCCGATTGTGTCCTATCCGACGACAGGAGTAGACTATGTGGACTATACTTTTCAGCAGCTAGACGTCTTTGCCTACAGAACGGCCAAACATCTCGAGTCGAGCATCCCAACTAGGACGAGCTCCAACACCAAGAGGACCGTTGTCGCCATGATGGGACCGTCGAATCTAGAGTACCTCATCACGATGATGGCCCTCATGAAGGCCGGTCATACTATCTTGTTCTTGTCGACTCGTATACCCGCAATCGCGGTCGAGTCTCTGGTGAAGACGACTGGTGTAACATACATGATTGCAGATCCAAAGTACCTGCAGACAGCGGCCACTGTCAAGGAACAGTTGCCAGATTTGCAGGTGCTAGACATGCCCAAGCGCAACATATTCGAGTTCCCAGTCGAGGTACATGTCGACACGCAAATGGACGGTGCACTTGACCCGTCCGTTGAGACAAATGAGATCGTCTATATCATCCACTCGAGTGGTAAGTCGTCCAGGATATGATTCTTTTGAAAGAAAAAAAAATTAAGTATTCTTAGGATCCACGGGGTTGCCCAAACCAATTTATCAGGTGCAGAGTGCCGCCCTGTCCAATTATGCTTCAAACATGGACATGAAGGCCTTCATCACCCTTCCTCTGTACCACAACCATGGAATCTGTAACTTGTATCGTGCAATGTGGTGTCGCAAGTCGATCCATCTCTACAACGCAGATTTGCCACTCACCAGCGATTTGCTCATCAAAATTATGCGCAAGCACAAGTTTGAGATCTTTTACGGTGTTCCATACGCATTGAAGCTTCTAGCAGAGACTCCCGAGGGTCTGGACCTGTTAGCACAGCTCAAAACCGTCATGTACGGTGGCTCAGCCTGCCCCGACGATCTGGGTAACCTGCTTGTCGACCACGGAGTCAATCTCATCAGTCATTATGGAGCGTGAGTTGTCCCAATGCTTGTGCTTGCATACTGTGCTGACATACCGCAAAACAGGACCGAGGTTGGCCAGCTCATGACTTCCTTCCGCCCTGCTGGTGACAAGGCATGGAATTATGTGCGTGAGAATGAAAAGCTCTCGCCCTTTCTCTTCTGGATGCCACAGGGTCCGAACTTGTTTGAATGCTGTGTTCGCGAGGGATGGCCGGCCAAGACTGCCACCAACATGGAAGACGGCTCATACAGGACAAAAGACTTATTTGAGCCTCATCCGACCGTCCCGCGTGCCTGGAAATACATTGCTCGGCTTGATGACACGATCGTCCTGGTGAATGGCGAAAAGTTCAACCCGGTAGCTACTGAAGGGACGATCCGGTCATCCAAACTCGTAACCGAGACAGTTATATTTGGTGCCCAACAACCATACCTGGGTGCTCTAATTGTTCCGTCGCAAGCGACGGTTGGTAAATCACCAGCCGAAGTCTTGGATGCCATCTGGCCAGTAGTTGAGTCTGCACAAGAAGGGAATGACTCCTTCGCCAAATTGTCTAAAGAGATGATCGTCATCTTGCCCCACGGTACTGACTATCCTCGCACTGACAAGGGCAGCGTCATTCGACAAGCCTTCTACAAGACATTTTCCAAAGAGATTGAAACGGCATACGACATCTCCAACAGTTCTAGCGAGGACGCACGCGTTATGTCAAGTGAAGAGCTTCGACAGCATCTTCGTAGCTTGGTCGTGAAGACTCTGCCAGATGTACAGTTCGATGACGACACAGACTTCTTTGGTCTGGGACTGGACTCGTTGCAGGCTATTCAGATTCGCTCTGGCGTGATGAGATCTGTCAAGACCGCCAACAAGGTAACGCAGAATGTCGTGTTTGATCACCCATCGATCAGCAAGCTCGCTGCATATCTGCTGGGTGAGACTTCTGCTTCCAGTGACTCGGACGGCAGTCTCGAGGCTGAAATGCAAGCTCTTGTTGAGAAATACGGCGACTTTGCACCGCAGCCGCAGGTAGGCGGACACTCTGTTGTTGTGACAGGTGCAACTGGTTCGTTGGGTGCTCACATTGTGGCCAAATTGGTCAAGGATCCGACTGTGGAAAAGGTGTACTGTCTTGTGCGAGCCAAAGACACAGCCAGTGCATTGAAGCGGACCGTGGAGTCCATGATGCTGCGCAAGGTATACCACGATTTATCGCTTTCCGAACGTCGCAAAATTGTCTCGTATCCCTCGGACTTTTCTCACGCAGACTTGGGGTTGGATGCCGCAGCATATCGAGAGATCAGCTCCAGTCTCCGTGCCGTCATTCACTCAGCATGGTCCGTCAACTTCAATCTCAAGCTATCCAGTTTTGAAAGAGACAATATCGCCGGAGTCAAGAATCTTATCAACCTTTGTCAGAAGGGAGCGGCTGCATTCAACTTCTGTTCCTCAGTTAGTGCTGTAGCCCGCCACCCCGATGCTGACGGACCGGTCCCAGAGATCGCCCCCAAGCCGGAGTGGGCACAGGGCATGGGTTATGCTCAGTCCAAGTCGGTGGCGGAGACTTTGTGCGCAAAAGCAGGCGAGCAGGCCGGCATCCCCGTCAGAGTTCTTCGAATCGGACAGATTGTGGCCGATACAGCACACGGTGTCTGGAACGCAACCGAGGGTGTTCCCATGGTAATCCAAACAGCACTCACTGTTGGTGCTCTGCCGCGCCTGAGGGAAGACCCGTCTTGGCTTCCAGTGGATGTCGTTGCGCAAGGCGTCGCCGAGATTTCTCTTTCTCATGCTCAGAATGCATTCACCAATGTGACAAATCACAAGACTTTTAGTTGGCAGAATGACCTCTTGCCTGCACTCCGTGAAGCTGGTCTCAAGTTTGAGGAGGTTGAGCCAAAGGAGTGGGTTCGAAGGCTGAGAGCCTCTAATCCAGACCCGGTGCTTAATCCTCCCATCAAGCTCGTCGAGTTCTTTGCCGGCAAGTATGACAAGGATGAATTTGCGCCTTCCAAGCAGTATTCAACCAGTACAGCCCGATCTATTTCTTCAAGCTTGGATCAGGGCTGGACGCTTGATCAGGACTTTGTAAAGAAGTTTGTGAGTCAGTTCCTGTCGGATTCATGGAAGACAAAGGAGGCGGCTCCGGCCAACGAGCCCTTTAACACCCAGCGCAAGACTGTGATTGTAATCACTGGTCCATGCGGCTCGGGCAAGTCCAGTCTCGCAACCGAGATCAGCAGACACCTGGGAGCACCTTTCGTGGAGGGCGATTCTTTGCACAGCAAAACCGCCGTTGACTCCATGCGCAGCGGTGTCACCTTGGCCGACGACCAGCGCTGGCCCTGGCTGGCGCGCATCAACCGGCGTGTTGAGGAGGAGCTTTACGATTTGGGCTGGGATTCCGCTGTCGTAAGCTGCTCGAGTCTCAAGAAGAGTTACCGTGATGCTCTAAGGCAGGTTGGCCAGGCGCGGCCCGGTAGTCCGAGGGTCGTCTTCCTTGATCTTCAGTGCTGCCCGGAAACACTGGTGAGCAGACTGGCTAGTCGTGGGGGTCATTATATGAAGGCAGAGATGGTGCAGAGCCAGATTGATGCAAAGGAAGGAATTGCTACCGATGAAGTGGATGTTTACCCTGTTGACGCGGAAAAGGAACTGGGTACAGTGATAAAGGAGGCAAAAGGCTTCCTCAGGCAGCTTGACTTGGTAGATTGAGTGAATGCTGGTTTCGTTTTTGTTATATATCTTGGATACCTAGGTAGGTAGATTAGGGCAGGAGTTTTTGCCGAAATAATTTTGGTCTATATTTTTCATCATTGCTCCCGCTGTCCTGGAAATCTTATGCAGTGAGCGATTGAGGGTGCGTTTGTACCTACCTAGGTTAGGTAGGTAGATAGGTGAAAGAACGGAAGCATATCAGAGGAAAATTAACTAACTTTTTTTTTTTTTTTTTTTTTATATATATGGTGAATAGTAAATACTGCCAATCATCCACGGGAGGTGTACCACATAGCAAAAAGATAGACTAGATACCATGTAGATAGATAGAGATGAGAAATGTTTGTTGAGATACCTACCTGTTGTCCTCAATCAAAATAAGGATGAAATAAGGACAAAATGGTCCGGCTTGGCCATAAGCTTGTGGCTGCAGCCTGATGTCATTAGCAAAACCCCACTAACGATTCGGCGCGTTCCTGTCGGCCAGGGCCTGTAACCAAGACATCATTGAGAAGGTCCAGGGACGTTCCCACTTTGATGATCGCCATGCTCAAACCAGGATATCTGCTTCTCCTACATACTTTGCCCACTCGCATTGCTCACGCGACAATCTGGGGTAAGCAGGTACTCTGTTTGATATTGAGCAGCGAGATATAATCGTCGACATAACTTTAACTTGCGGCCTCACATACCCTTCGCCTCTACCTAGTACTCTCTACGTTCCACAGCGCAAAGACCGCTGCTCCTCGCAAACTGGCGCCACCACGCCGCTTTCTGCCTCCACAGCCGCATCCTCACCACAGAGCCTCGCTCTTCCGCTACCTCTTCCCACGTCTGAGCCAACGATATCGAGAGCGGCTGCTTGGCTTCCACCTCGACACCCTTCCCTACTACAAGCACCGCCTTCAGAGTCGTGTATATCGCTTCATCCTCGAGCGTCAGCGAAGGCGAAACGAGCAGTCGCGCATCGTCGACCGTGCCCGGCGGCTTCTCCTTGGGCCGCCGAAGCCGAAGCCGACATTGCGAGCACCAAAGAAACGGGATGTGATTAGAGCAAAGCGCAAGAGCATCATGTCATATCTTTCAGGGTATGGCTCGGGAAGCGGGACTGGGGCCGAGCCCGGTGCGAGGAGAAGAAAGTTGGCGGCTGTGGCAGGCCGAGTCTATAATGCTGGCGCATCGGCCGTGAGTGGGATTCGAGAGTCGTACAATCAGACCAGAGCCGGCCAAATCGATACCGAGGAGCTTCAGAAGATTACGATACCCGGTGCCTTTCCGGATGTCAAAATCATTGTCTCGGGAGACGAACAGATGGTGCTTTTCCCGTCTTATGCCAAACGACACGTCAGAGGCCAAATGCGACAGTATGAAGACCCGGCAGGCCCACCTCACAGTTCTACCGTCGAAATAGACGAGGAAGAGTACTGGCGCCAAGAATGGGCGAGGCACGAAGATGAAAAGGCCATTGTCGATGTAGACGTGCGAGGCTGGATATACAATCCACACCGAGGGCCCATGACTAGGAGGAATCGCATCCTGATAGGCCTGGCTCGACAACTAAGCGGCATTCCTACGCCACAAGCGCAACAGCAACACCTGGACCCGTCTCCGGCATCTTTACACCAGTTGCATGAAGAAGAGCGCGAGCAGATGCGAATCGCCCAAGAAGCCCAGGAAATCGAAAGGCGGGGGCAAGCCGAGAGAGCAGCGGCGGTCAAGGGAGGTTATAGCGAAGCACCAAGGGATGCAGACTCGGAGGATGAGTATGGAAGCTCACGTGATTCTAGGAGTCGTAGTCCGACTCCATCAGCTCGCTCTGCTCCTCGTTCCCCAGTCATGGGTGTGAGCAGATCGAGCACTGCAGGTGGGAGTCAGCTGAGCGAGGCCGAGCTCGCTGTTGCCAATGCAAATTTAATGGCTCGAATTGCCCCATTCATGACAACGCCGTTGGTGCAGAGGCCTATAACTGTCTTTTTCTACAATGACAGCCAGTCTCAGTCCAAAACTGTCACGACCAATGATTCTGGCCATTTCATTCTGCGAGCACCGTTAGACTTTGTGCCTACTCACATTCGAGTTCTCGCGAACGAAGGTCTGTCTGCCACCGAGCCGGTTCATGTCATTGAACCCGAGGGCATCAGCCTAATCAGTGACATTGATGACACAATCAAGCACTCTAGCATCACGACTGGTGCCAAGGAAATCTTCCGGAATACCTTTATACGCGATCTTGGAGATTTGACGGTCGACGGAGTCAGGGAGTGGTATACCTCCATGCACAATCTGGGTGTGAGGATACACTACTGCTCCAACAGCCCGTGGCAGCTGTATCCTGTTATTGCTAGCTACTTCAAGCTAGCAGGGTTACCTCCCGGCTCTATTCATTTGAAGCAGTACAGTGGCATGCTCCAGGGCATCTTTGAGCCCGTGGCAGAGAGAAAGAAGGGCACACTGGAAAAGATTATGCATGATTTTCCGCAGCGCCGATTCCTTCTCGTAGGTGACAGTGGAGAGGCTGACCTGGAGGTCTACACCGAGATAGCCGTTGCTAACCCTGGTCGCATTGTCGCGATTTTCATTCGGGATGTGACAACGCCAGAGCGCTCGGGCTATTTCGACTCGGGTTTCGGTCGCGCCAGTGGACGAGAGCTGGTACGGGCTCCGAACAGCACGAACCCGAGCCGTAATAACTCGCTAGACGATCGCGCAAGCAGGCCTGCCTTGCCACCACGTACGCCAAGCAAGCCTGCGAAAGAAGAGGGCCCGATCATGGGAGATTTGATTGACTTTTCTGAGGAACCTCAAGAAAGTCCTCAAGAAGAATCTCGGCACTTGCAAGAATTGCGGGAAAACCTGCCTCCTAGTAACAAGAAAGCACCGCCTCCAAGGCCAGCTAAGCCGACGTCCCTCAAAAGCTCATCAACAGCCTCACTATCTGGGGCAAGCAATCCTGCAGAAACTTTGGAACAGAAGAAACCACCACCGCCGCCACAGGCGCGTAGGACTACTCCATCTAATGGAGGTTCAGCAAAACCTCCTGCCCCTCATCCGCTATCACAAATGCATAATTCCTCACAGCAAGGGCTCAACGGAAGTCAACAAAGCCTATCCAGTACAGTGCCATATGATCGACGTGGATCCAATTTCTCCAGCACTTCTGGCTCCGCATCATCTAAATCGGCTGCTCCACCACCGCCGCCACCAAGGAGAACCAATACAGCTTCGAGTCTACAACAATCAGGCCCACAGGTCACAAGGAACCCATCTCGCGGTACACCGGATTCCGATGTAGAAGCCATAGACTCGTTGCCTCCGTCGGCATTCCAAAACAATACTTACAATACGAATCTCACCCCAGATGCACCACTGAACAAGAAATTAGATCTATGGCATAGGCGTTTGCAACGAGCACAGGAGACGCTTGACCAGCAAGGCGTTGCGCTTTATACCTGGCGTCGTGGAAATGATGTTGTTAACGAGGCTGAGGGTCTCGTGCGTCAAGCAATGAAGGACATGGGAGTAAAAGTTGGCGAAGGAGAGAAGCGAAACCTGAAGAACAGACAATAAGATGGCTTTTCCCTGCATATATAGTAATCATGACAATACTCACCTCGTTTCAATACGTGCTGACTTCAGAGACATGTACTGTAAGCAGTTACTTGGAAAGGCCATGAAAAGTATTCATTCACATTTCATGCTGACCGAATAAGTGATTAGCATGAGAAGTTTCAGCATCAGAAAGTAAATATGGAGTATGCGGATTCATTCCAAAAGTAATAACTTATACAATCATATGTCTTGGCGCTCGCTAGTCGCTTTAGCAATTGAGGGTGGGGCAATTGGTACCTGGTACACTCAATGGCACACCGCCCGGTAAAAAAGTTCCTTATCGTGTGCTATCGCATCGTCGTCCCCAAACTTTTTAGCTGGTAAACATCCATCCCACTCCCCGACGAGCCCAAACCACCCCATTCCCCCATACCAGCCGAGGGATCGCCAAAGTCTGGTGCAAAGCAAAATGGCGAAACGCAAGGCCGACGAGGACTTTGTCCTGACCATTAGCGACAACGAGGAGCTGCCAATTGAGGAGGAAGAAATCGTCGCCGAGCCGCCCAAGAAGAAGTCCAAAAAGGCGACCAAGGCCAACAAGTCCAAGAAGGGCGCCAAGAATGATGCCGCCGACGACGCCGAAGATGCAGAGGATGCTGGCAAGTGGGGAAAGCACGACGAGGACGACGGCGCCATGGACTCGGATTTTGAGTTCATGGTTGACAATGCCGGCGACATCATGGGCGGCGAGTTCGAAGGCTGGGGTTTCGACGGCGCCAAGAGGGGTATGAATGAGAAGAGAGTGGTGGACGTCGACGAGATTATCAGAAGGCGAAGGGAAAAGAAGGAAAAGAAGGAGGGTAAGAAGAAGAAGCAACAAAAGGAGGAGGAAGTAGCATCCGAGGAGGAGGATGAAGAGGTCGCCGACATTGATATGGACGATGACGATGACGAGGTGCTCGCCGAGGACGGCTTCGGCATGGGCGCCGCTTCTGATGCGGAAGAGTCGGACGAGGATGTCGCCGACGACATGGACGACGATAACGAAGATGACGAGGACGACGAGGAGGGAGATGCTTCCGACGACGATTCCGTGGCCACACCCAATGAGCACCCCGATGACAATGGTAGTGATTCGGATTCCGATCAAGAGGAGGATGCCGAAGAAGCTGCCAAGCGAGAAGCATTCTTTGCGCCAGAGGACAACGCAAAACAAGGAAAGCAGCCTGCTAGATCATCTTTCCAAGGCATGTCCTTGTCAAGACCTATTTTGCGTGGTCTCACTACTGTTGGTTTCACCAAACCCACGCCCATCCAAGCCAAGACTATCCCCATTGCTTTGGAGGGCAAGGATGTTGTGGGTGGTGCAGTTACTGGTTCCGGAAAGACTGGCGCTTTTATTGTACCGATTCTGGAGCGTCTTCTCTACCGACCCAAGAAGGTGGCTACTACTCGAGTTGTGATCATGACGCCTACTCGTGAACTTGCAATTCAGTGTCACGCGGTTGCCACGAAACTCGCCAGTCATACCGATATCAAGTTCTGTTTGGCAGTTGGTGGTCTCAGCTTGAAGGTTCAGGAGGCAGAGCTCCGCCTGCGACCTGATGTTGTCATTGCTACTCCGGGTCGTTTCATTGACCACATGCGCAACTCTGCCAGTTTTAACGTGGACACTGTGGAAATTTTGGTGCTTGACGAAGCCGACCGAATGCTCGAAGACGGTTTTGCCGACGAGCTGAACGAAATTCTCACCACCATACCCAAGTCTCGACAGACCATGTTGTTTTCCGCCACCATGACCTCGTCCGTGGACCGTCTGGTCCGCGTGGGTATGAACAAGCCCGTACGACTCATGGTCGACACACAAAACAAGACTGTATCAAAGCTCGAGCAAAAGTTTATTCGTCTACGACCGGGACGCGAAGACAAGCGCATGGGATACTTGGTCCACCTTTGCAAGACCATGTACACGGAGCGCGTCATCATTTTCTTCCGCCAAAAGAAGGAGGCCCACCGCGCTCGTATCATCTTTGGTCTCTTTGGCCTGTCCTGTGCCGAGCTCCACGGTAGCTTGAACCAGTCCCAGCGTATCAGCGCTGTCGAAGACTTCCGTGACGGCAAGGTGTCTTTTCTGCTCGCCACCGACGTTGCGTCCCGTGGTCTCGATATCAAGGGAATCGACACTGTCATCAACTACGAGGCGCCGCAGTCCCTGGAAATTTACGTCCACCGTGTCGGTCGTACGGCGCGTGCCGGACGTGCCGGTGTTGCCGTCACCATTGCCGCCGAGCCCGATCGCAAGGTGGTCAAGGCCGCTGTCAAGGCTGGCAAGGCCCAGGGCGCGAAAATTAGCAGTTTGGTCATTGAAGCCGCCGACGCCGACAAGTTGCAAAAGCAGATTGAGGACTGGGAAGACGAGATTGAGGAGATCATGATTGAAGAGAAGGAGGAGAAGCAGCTCGCCAACGCCGAGATGCAGATCAAGAGGGGCGAGAATATCATGAAGCACGAAGACGAGATCAAGTCCCGACCCAAGAGAACGTGGTTCGAGACGCAAAACGACAAGAAGAAGGCCAAGGAGGCTGGCCGCGCCGAGCTCAACGGCCTGATGGACAGCTTGAAGAAGAAGAGCGGTGGCAAACTGAGCAACAAGGATAGAAAGAAGCTCGACGCCAGATCTGATCGGAATGAAGGCAGAGCTTGGAAGAAGGGCTCGGCCGAACGTGCTGGAAAGGGAGCCGTGTTGAATTTCAAGAAGGACAAATCAAAGAAGGGACCCGGCAAGCCCAAGAAGAGGTAAAAGAACAGGCCGTGCAGATTAGCATAAAATACCATTTGTGAAATTAGATCATGTCATTACTTGTACAAGTCTTACTTGGCTGGTTCTATGCATATGGCATGAGATCCGTCACTGTTTTATGGGATTGATGTGAATTATGGAATCGACAGCATGCGTTCTGACACTGCCATGCGAGGTTTGTGAAACACATTGGATTGTACCAAGATTCAGAACCCGCCGAACCCGAACCCGGAAGATACCTGGACATTCGACAGAATGAGTACTAGTTCTGAGTCTGCACGGATCAAGAGAATTCGCATCGAAAAGCAGACGTACCAAAGAGTCAAAGTGGCCCCAGCCTGTGCCATCCGCCACTGAGCTACTGGGACTCACTTCCCAGTTCATATCCCCATTGAGAATCAAGCCCAGCTCCTGGAAAGACATATCTTGCATGCCACTTGGTGCACTAGTCACTGGCACCGCAGCAGTATTGCCGCTGCCATCAAGTGCCGTTGTCACGGGCGGTTGTTGCTGATCGACTGATACTGCCTTCGGTCCACTGCCGCTGCCGACAGTATGCCTCAGGGCCTCGGCCCGAAGCTCCTCAAGCACGAGACTATACCGCTGCGTAAGGGAGCCTTGTTCGGCCATGGCAAAGATTTGGCCTTGACACGTGCCCGCTGCCTCGAGGTAGGCGCGATAGGTTTCGATTGGGCTGGCCTTTTGCTGGATGGCGTAGACATATAGAACCACGACTGCTGAGAAGGCAAAATATAGCGTAAACTAAGCATATTCGTACAGATTAGTATACACATTCTGGCCCTTCTTGGCTGTAGGCCTGTTCGAAGAGGTTTTTGTGTTGTTTCTACTTACCCAGTATCCTCGGAATAGCTGGTCGGCCTGGAACAACCTATTCACAGTTTCGACGATACTCATGGCGGCGTGCAGGCACTCTTGCACGCCAGGACTCGTGCGGGCTTTCTTGGCTGCGTCCGAGGACAATGGTGCCTGTTGTAGCCGCGCAAAGTTGCTGAGCAAAAAGGGGCGGTTAGTCAAAATCATGGCATGCCAGTAAGCAAAGTTCAAGACGTTAATCTGGCGCTGGTAAATGGGCTTCATGAATGAGGCGCTCAGACCGTTGACGTCGAGAAAGTAGGCTATCTCCTTGCGCCAGTCCTTGAGTGCAGCCGTGTGTTTGGTCGCCAGAGTGAGACGCTTGGATGCCGATATTGGTTTGATTGAGTAAAGGTCACGAAGAACCCCGCTTATAATCCTAGCTAACCTAATTCCACGTCAGTTTGCGTATTAGAAAAAACGTAATGATTGGGTTTACAACCTTACATGGGCCACTGGTGCAAGCATGAGGGATTGCTCTGACCTAGGGTGCTTGGAGGCGCCGACTTGTTCACCGAGATCCGAGTCTTCGATATTGGAAGGAAGTTCTTGATCAATATCGTCCTCGTGAAATGTCCGGGGGCGGCCCAGCGCGGCGCTGAGATAGCAATCGAGACAATAAGCACACCAAAAGGTTCGGCGGCGACATTCAGTGGTAACACGATCGAACTCGGCCGTCGCAAAACCCCGACGATTCCGGTTCAGACCTATTGCGAGGACGAGATGCGCCGTTGTACCAAACAGACTCCAGCAGTGATTGATGCGCGACCGCCCAAGCAGGTAAAAGCACTGCGCGAGCCGGGCCTGGACGCTCGTGAGGCGGATGGAGCCCCTCTCCTTGGCCAACTGCTGCTCGGCCGCGATAAAGTACCGCGCGCTGTCCTCTTGGGATGAAGGTCCGGGCATGTAAACTTGAGCCTGGGCAAAGACCATGAACAGAACCGCTTTCCGGGCAAAGGCCTCTTCTGGGTCGCGCATGGCGCCCTTGGTCGTGAAGAATTCATCAAGCCATTGCTCCACGGTGGGACGATGGTAGAATCGGTAAGTTGCGGCTGCAAAATCAAAATACCGCTCTAGGAGTTTCTGGCCCTCATCGCGGGACATGAGCAGACAAGACGCCGGATCGGGGTCCGGGAGTGGCGCATCGCCAAAGGTGAAAATGGACGAGGCTTGAGAAAAGGTCACGGTCTGGTGTAAGCGCTTCTGAACGCGCAATAAAAAGGACACGCCGGATGCCGGGCCAATATAGTGGCCCTGAAGATCAGTTTGTGATGGTTCCGGCGACACGTGCGACGATGTGACCTGATGAGATGCCTCGGGAGGCTGTATTGTATCACGGCCGGCAACATCGCTTACTTCGTCTCCTTGAGTGACATCGGCAGAGTCCGACTCCCGTGTCTCATGTTCATCCAGTTGGTCTAGATCTAGTTTCATGGGCGTTGGGGGCATGCGCCCGCGCGTGTATGATGCCTTGTATGTGCACGAGTTTATGTCCAAATTGCACTGCAGACAGGGATGCGTGCCGCTGCACCTTACTTTGCGTCTATACGGGGCTCAGCACTCTGTCTACCTGCTTCGAAGTGGGAAATTTGACTTTGATTGACCACGTACCTTTTGCAACGGTCACAGGCGCGCGTGACCCGACTGCGCTCCCGACTCCGTCGACTCCTGCTAATGGGACTTCGAAGATGCTGTTGCTGTTGATCGCTAACTGGCGGCGTTCCATCTGGTTGCGAGGCCAGGTCGCCCTGCGGGGTATCCATGGCCTTGGTTTCCATTCTCATCAATGGAACCCGTCGTTCCCGACGCGGACCGATTAATTCGCGAGACCTCGCCTCCCCGTGCCGTAGGCTGCGTGCGATAGCAAAGATCCGGATATGGCAGTTCGGGGTCTTCCCGGAGGCCTTGTTACTCCTAAGCCACGACACACGGGAGCTCGGAAAAGCTCTGTAAGGTGTAGAAATGCTGGGGGGAAAGCAAGCTTGAAGCCAAGATCCGGGGTAGGTGGGGTAAACAAGGATGACCTGGGGTAACAGAGACTGGCCTAACTAGTGGCTATCAGTGCTTTTACGCTAACCTTAGGTAATTCGGGCTGAGAAGGGCGGTTATACTTGCAGACCAATCGCTATATTGCCAGCTTGTAGTGGTGTAGATAAAGTTGTAGTGTGGCAATGTTTGATTTAACAAGATGTCAATCTCTTCCATTTTCACTCAATTCTTTATTTGTCGAGCGTGGTATTGTTGGAGGATTTGAAGTGTCCCTATTGTGAACTGCTTCCTAGCCCACCAAAAGCCTCCGTATCCTTGGCCATCTAGATGAAGACGGGTATATATGTATTTCCCGGGTGATATAATGGTCCTTGAAGTTCCTTGAGCAGTTCCACTGGTGACAGGCTCTGAACAGAGTTTCTCCCAGAGCACTGCATCCTGAAGATCTTCAGCCCCCACGGCCCAGCAATTTCAAGCCGGCCTCTTGTTGAACATATCTCGGGAACAGTCAGTGTATCTATTTTTCCCCCTTTCCGTTCGCCTTGCTTCATATCTGAAATCTGTATGCAAGATATGAGGTAGGACGTACACGTATTTTGACCTGTCATGAAAAACGGTACCTGACAGGTCCCCAAAATTACCTACTCTCTCAGGCCGTACTGGTTTATCTCGTCAGAATCCATCCATAGCATATACTCTACGATCAAGCTTAGACTAGACCAAAAGTCTTCTACCATCTATTCTTCCATGACTGCAAGGCTATCCGCGCCGCGTCGCTCTTTCTTTCTTCCTCTTTTTTTCTTTTGTGGAGATTTGCCGTTGCGCTGTCTTTGCCCTCGGCCCGCATCGCATGGAGAAAAGATGGATTCACGATAATCACTATGAGGTCTATTCAATTGCCATGTTTTACGAAAAGGGTAATTGAGCAGCAGCCAAGACTAACACTGTGGGAACCACTCGCAAATGATTGTGCTCATTGGTTTCACAGTCCCAGTCAACTGGTTCGGCCCATTTTTGCGGGTGGAGGGTGCAGCAGGCGATTGCTGTACCATTATATCACCATCATATCATGCACCATAATTCCAACGGTGCTGGCATTTGGTTTGGTGTCACGGTGTCTTGGGTGCCATTTGCGTCCATCATAATTTCACTGTGCATAAATCCACACCCGGCAGTTTTCTGGAGAACAGACTTGACCTTGTAGAAATATTCCTCAACTGTGCCGCAATAGATTTTCTACCCATCAGTAGCTTGTCCTTTTTTTCGTCATCGTTCCCTACTACGTCGCACATCTTGCTGCCGTATTCTTGTGATCTTCTGTAGTCTCCATTCGATTGGTTCTGCCATGCCTTTGCAACAGGTTTTCCACCTTCGCACTTCTGGTTGGGAACAAGACCCTGACGAGGAGAGGGTCAAGGTATCGACCATTGATCGGACCCCGACCACGTCCTACAATCAATATGTCGTCTATTTCCGGGTTGAAGAGGCCGAAACCAATCGTACCGTCAATGTCCTTAAGGCCGGTCTTGAAACGACTCTGAGTCAAGCCAGGTACTTGTGCGGTACCATTGAGAAAGACGGAGGCGGCCATTCCTTTGTCAAGAGGAAAGAAACGGCTGTAAAGTTTGTGGTTCAGCGGCTAGATCTCCCGGGGGATAACTATCCATCATTGGACGATATTGAGGCCGCTTACTTCTCGGCTCGTTGTCTGGGTGACTTGGATACCTGGAGTTAGCTTCCCCATCTTCTATTTCTTGCACCTATACGCTGCCAACAACAGTCTCGACCTTGACCCGCTTGGCTAACATATTCCTTCAATAGGCATCAAAGGGATGAAATGGGGAGAGACCCTCGAGGCTGATCCGGATAGCAGCCCCGTAATTGCAGCATATCAGGTCAACGTGATCAGAGGTGGATTGGTTTTTAGCATGCATAGTCATCATTATGCCAGCGACGTCATGGGATGGAAAAACTTCACTCACCAGCTGGCAGATAACTGCTATGCAATCTACAACTCTACACCGTTTCCATCGTGGGATCTGGCATGTATCGACGCTATGCGCTTCACCAAGGACCTGCCCGAAGAAGATCTCATAAATGGCCCTCCAAAGGCTCAAAGACACCCCGACCACCCGGAACAGCAAGCCGTGCTATTCCACTTGCCAACGAGCAAGGCAAAAGAGCTCAAGAGACGCGCTTTTCCCACGGAGCCAGGGTGGATATCTACGTATGATGCCACGTGCGCTTACATCTGGCGTCTGATGACCAAGGTTCGTGCCGAGTTTTATAAACCTGCCGATCTTGCTCAAAAGCTGTACTGGGGTGAAGCCGTGGACATGAGGCCTCGTTTACACAATCCTCCGGTTCCAGAGCGGATGATGCGTGCGATAGTGGCCGGAGGCTTCTCCGACACAAACCCAGAGACTGCCCTCACTATTGGAGACGTCGTCAAGGATGCCCCATTGTCGAACCTTGCAAATTACATTCGCTCGTTGACTGAGAGCTGCACCGAGAAGCACCTAGAGGCCCTGGTCGACCTCATTGCGCCCATCCGAGACAAGCGGTCCATCAGCCTGCGCGTCGATGCGCACCCGCCAATGAGCATGTTTGTGACGGACCACCGCGCTGGAGATGTGAGCGGTTTTGATTTTGGTTTTGCAAAGCCCATCACCTATCGCCATTTATGGGGCGAGGCCATTACGGCGGGGTTGATTTTGATCTACGCGCCTCTCCGTCCATCGCTTAATCCCGATGAAGGTTGCATGTTTACAATCACAATGGAAAAGGAACTGATACCAAAACTAAAGGAGGATCCCGAGTGGAACTCGTTCTTTGAGTATCGCGGAGTAGATTAGTCATCGCTTTTATATCAAGCATGGGTGTCAAGTGCTGACTAAAACCTTCGTTTAAAATATTACACAAGGTATGTTACAAGTGACATGACGACTGTTAATACGCCGGCCCCCAGACAGGTAGGTAGTTATCTTGAATTGTATCATGGTACTCGTCGTAGCTCAGCAATCGGATGGAAAATACAGGATGAAAATAATTCACCTTTTTGATCGATTGAACATGGACAAGACACTGTTGGAAAATCATGGAAACTTGATATGATGGTATATTTTCCCCTTTTATGATCCCACTTTTAGTAATACATTGTTTTGAATCCTCATGCCTCATGCCTCTTACTCAGAAGAGCTAGCCTAGACTTTGTCCTACATATTGTCATTGTCCCTGCAATAACTTCAATGCATCAAATATCTAGAACCCGCCATGGATCTACGGCCGTAACTATCTTTAATTTATTGCAGATATAGATCTTACAATCTGCTGCGGCGGATCTTGAGGTTGCGGGCCTCCTTGCGGGCCCAGAGGCTGGTGCTCTCTCCCTCCTCGCAGGTAGTTCCCGCAGGCATGGCCTGGAGAGTTGTCCAAGCGCCGGACGCGCACTGCTGGTACTGAGAGCCTCCAACACAGTCTAGTTGAATGCGTTAGCAATGCAAATTCTTCCAAGAAAGTATGAAAAAAAAAGTCAAGAGAATACAGGTTTACTTACTGAAAGTGCCCTCCGAAGTGCAAGCTCCGGACTCTCCGCCAGAGGTCGATCCGGTTCCGGTTGCCGGGGCGGATGAAGATGTCTTTGCGGGGGATGAGGATCCCGTTGCTGCCGCACTGCTCGCGACAGCCGCCTTGGTCGTGCTGGTAGCAAAGCTGGTGGCAGCAGAGGTAAGGAATACACCACCATTACCACCAGCGGATGAAGCGGCTGATGCGGTGGCCTGCTCGCTGGCTACAACGGTGGCAGCCGAGGTAGCCGCAGAGGTAGCCGCAGAGCCCGCGGCCGAAGTGCCAGAACCAGAGTCCGAGGAGTCGCCCGTCGAGCCACCAGTGCTGCCCTTGGGGAAACAGTTGGTGCCGCTGGGGGTAGCCAGGGCCGGGCTGGCGCCAAGGGTCTGGACATTGTCACCCGGCTCCGGGTACTCGACATCAGAGGACAGGACGGTCTTGCAGTCGTTGATATCGGCCAGGTTGGCGACGAAGAGATCGGGGAAGGTGGCGCGGGACTCCAACAGTGTCATCGACTCATTGACAGAGCGCTTGGAGGAGCTGCCAGTAACTGTGATGGGGGCGCAGTTCATGTAGTACTCTTGGGTTCCAGAGAGCTTTGACACCCAGGTCCAGGCAAAGACGTAATCTCCTGCGGCAACTCCGTCGGGAATGGTGAAGTCGTACGTGCTTGCTGCGGTGCCGTCTGTGCTGGGGCAACCAGACTCGATGGAGAGAATGACTTGCCAGTTGGTGCTGGCGTCGGGCTGCGATTCCGTGGTGATGGCGAGCTGGCAAGAACCACCGCCGTGAACAGCGCTGCCGGTGAAGGACAGGGTCTGTGTCTCGCCAATGGCCATCTCTGTTGCCGTGGTACCGCTGTAGAAAGAAGCAGGGTCGGAGGTGACCTTGCACGGGTAGTTGCTAGAGGTCAAGGGGGAGTTGTCGAGACTTGAGCCGCCGAAAGGTGCCGGCGTCTTCATAATCATGTGGCCATTGACGGCCGCCGTGCCTAGCAGCGCGGCTGCGGTGAAAATCTGCTGTGTTTTGGAAGTCATGTTGTTGGATGAAAGTGGGTTTTGCCGGTGTTGGCGTATGTAAAGTCTTGGCAATGATTGACTTGGGTATATATAAGTGTGGTTGTGAAAAAGCGTTCCGGACGTTTATTCTTGAGAATGGTAAGTGTGCCTGAACCAGTCTGGCAGCAATGTCTAAAATATATGCAGTGGAAGAGAAGACCAAGGAATGACAGTCATTGTTCGAATAGACAAGAGAGTTGTGTAAAGCTTGGCCGACATCCTTAAGTATTTATCTTGTCTCCTTTCTTTCTTCAAGTCTTTGGGTTAGAAGAAAAGGTGGAACCTGTTGGAACAAAGAGCGCCTACTTCTTTGCAGGGTGCCAAGGGGTGCGCGGTATAGGAAACAAGGGGCCAATCACGGCAGCGGCTTGCTCTCAGGGGGCACTTAATAGGGACCATATTGAAACAAACGATCGCTAGAACGGCTGCTCAGTGGGGCTCAGGCACGCGGCGCATCGCCAAGATCGCTGCTTAACAGCCACCCATTAGAGGCCCGCCCCTAGCGCATCGTCGCAAGTCTTGAATCCCCACTGCCAACGATTGGCCCGGAGGCCTCGAGGCACCGCCTAGTCGGTGGCGCGCATCACAATGCAAATTGAACGACAGGCACGCAGCTGACGTGCCTGGCACACATCTTTTCCCAGCAATTGCCATTCGATGGGCAGTGCCATTCAAGAGGCAGGTGCTTGCACCCATGAGGCTAACCAACAGCGTGTTTCAACTGTCAATCTGGACTCTGGAAAAGCTGTGATCCATGATGAGGATCTACAGAGTACAGCTCATCCCATGGATCTGTTTGGCGGCCTCTGTGGGATCGGGCCGGACCAACAGCCGGGTCAGGGATTAATCCATTGTGATAGGTAATGGGCCTGCCACAACAGGAACATCAAAATAAAGCATCCCCGATGCGCCACAAGGTGGCTAGTGAGTGTGGCATTTTACGAGTGACGTAACGGGAAGCGACAGCAGGGCAAGGTCAGCTTTTGACACATGGATTCCATAAATGAAGACCACATTTGTGTTTTCTTTTACTATTAAGCAAAGCTTTGTTGCGTCAAGAAGCATTACCAAACCAATTTGCTGTCAGCGAAGTGTTATTCGCTTGAGCGCAGGAAAAAGCACGCTAAGGGTGTAGGAAAAGATCCTATTGGTCATCAGCAGTCAGAATCGTGAACACTAAATCCAGCTATTACATTCCAAACAACCCTTTTTTTGATTTAAAAAGGAAAAGAAAAAAAAAAGAACAAGGCTCGCTGCACATAAAGAAGAGCGAAGAAGAAACCATAGTAATCAACGATAGTCTTCTCCAATTAGTGGTTAAGAGTGTGTGTTGAGTAGGTAAGTAACTGCTAGTGGGGCTAAGCCTCATACTGCCGTGTTGCTTTACACCCGCTAACAAGAGAGACAAACTTGCCGCAAGCCAATATGGGGAAAAAAAAAAAAGAACAAAGAAAAGACAGGCTGTATAAGCTATAGAAAATGTATAGCATCGTAACTGATATCCAAATGGGGAAAAGAGGAGCCGGAAAAATTTATGACGCGTGGTATTCTAACGATGATGGCATCACGTAGCTACTTTCAACTTGCCAGTTTGGCCTTGAGCAGTCTGATTTCACTAGGTAAATATGGCTCTAGGCGGGAAGATATGAGCTGTATCGAATACTTTTGATAGGCAGGCGGTATTACTTCACCTTTGTCCGCGATCATAGACTATTTGCTCAGCTACCGACAACACTCCATGATGTACAAAGTATAAAATGCGTACTTTTGCAAATGCTGAAGGGCTTGTGATATTGACCAAGTTGCTTAGAATATGGTCAATATATAATGACAAAGGCTGCAAAACGCGTAACATGTCCGCGACAAGAGCCTGTTTATAAGCAGTCCATAGAGGGCCCGGGCATTTCCAATTCCATGCCACCTAGGATTTCGCCAAGAATACCTGTTCCTGGAACGTTGTGACTTGGCAAGGTGAGGCGGGAAGGGTTCATCGGAGATTTGTTCAGGCTACAGGCGTTTGAACTTATTTTTAACCCACGTGCATCTGACGACCACTCATTCCTCCAATCACAGTGTTTCGTGGTAGAAGAAGTTCTCGGTTTGCTGCCGAGTACGATGCTCATACGAGATTTCGTCGGTATCAATGCAAGTAGGTATCCATAATAGCTCTTTTTTGCAGAAGCATCGATGCTGGATGCAGTGGAGAAGAGGAATACGTAGATCCCTGGCGCCATGATGGAGATTTAGCATATACGAAGTTTTGTTTGCAGGAAAGGCCTTTCAGTTGAATCGTCACTCCACCGGGGCAGCGATCAGGGTGGTCAATGACAACCATGAAATCTTTTGAGAGTACGCGAATCATTTCGAAGCCCGATAGCGGTGGAGGTTGACTTGAAAACAGTCTTGGGGTTTGTGCAGAGACCAATCGGAAGCTGTGCACCACTGGGCTTGGCATATTTGTAAGTGAGTGACTAAGATGCAGTTTGGCTGACACATTGGAAGCAAATGACCTCTTACCCCAGCTACATCATGTACACCCCGGACAATTCTATGCAATATATTTATAAAAGATCATTGAGGCTGCCATGTTTCCCTGCATTAGTGAATTTTATTTCCATTAAGTCTAAAAGGAATCTGCCGAATAGTGCAAGGGGAGCCAATGGCAGGGCCTCGCTCGAGCGTGAGGCTGACGCGGCCATATAAGAGTCGTGGCTACAACATTGATAAGCGCCGCATGAATGAATTGAACCTGAGGTTGCATCCCGCCAACCGACGCCATGACACGGCCGCGCGCTACTCAACGATATACTTACCCGCTTGGGTTGCATTCCCATCGCAGAGCCTCCACGCTTTCACACGCGGCAAAAACGGTGATGGCTTCAAGGAAAAATGCACATGCAGAGGTGTGGGTCGCTGGGGACGGCGTTTGGGCGCACAACTCCATGAAAGCTGATCAATATATCGATTACATGCATCGGAGCGACTCCCGTGCTCACCGCAGAGCAGGACAAAGCAAGGAACGAAACGAGCACAACCGACGGCATTTCGGCAAACGGCCGTGCAAGTTTTGATCAAGGATGGGAACGAAGACGAGAATTATGATCAGGAAATATAAAAGGCCTCAAATACGACCGGACTTTGAAGAGCATATTGCAAGCTCGACATCACAAAGACTCGATCCTAACAACACTCGCTTAGATCCTACAACAGCCGAGCCCAGCTGAACCGGCTTACCTTTCGTTTCTCTTTCCATCCAGATATATATCTCAACATGCCTCGTCTCCTCAAGCTAGGAACTTCATTGCTTGGCCTCTCAGCCGCTGCCTCGGCCAGTCCTCATGGGCTTGCGAAGCGTGATGAGTGCGAGACCTTGAGACAGGTGAAAGCATGGTATTTGCCATTACACACACAATTACTTTGGTTATCACTAATCAGATGCCTAGGACGAACTTTACTTCGACCGAAAAGTCGGCATATATAGATGCTGCATTGTGCTTGACCACTGCTGAGCCCACGATTGGCCTCGGCGATTCGGCTACAGTGTGGCAGGAGATGCAGTACGCGCACATTGGCCAAGTCACCTGGATTCACAATGTCGTAAGCTGGGCCCAAGTCCAGACGGTCAATGAATTCAATATAATTAATCACTTCCCCAGGGCCAATTCCTTCCATGGCACCGGTACTTCGTCACCGTCCACGCCAACTTCCTGCGTGATCTGTGCGGCTACGAAGGTCCTCTCGCGTGAGTCAAACATTCTATGCGCGCTTTTTGAATATTCTCTATTGACACAACAACAGTTATTGGGACGAGAGTGCCGATGCTCAGCTCACGGACCTCACGGATGCCGAAATCTTCCAAGCGGATGCCTTTGGTGGTGACGGCGTTGGGTCGTCAAAGTGCATCGAAGACGGGCCCTTTGTGGACACCGTTCTTCATCCCGTAAACACCACCGGTAGCGGTGGAAACAGCTCCGCGACAAACGGCAACACCTGCATCTGGCGCTCCCTCTCGCTTAACAGCTTGGATCGCTCTTCCTATGTCAATGTCGAGACGTGCCTCGAAAAAGACACGTGGGAGGGTGCCTGGAACTGCATCGAGGGTTCCCCACACGGAGGCGGCCACGGAGGCGTCGGCGGTGTCATGCTCAACGTGGCCAACAGCCCTGGCGACCCCCTCTTCTTCCTGCACCACTCTTTTATCGACTTGCTCTGGTGGCGCTGGCAGTCCGCCGACCTCGATACCCGCCTGACCGAGATTAGCGGCATCAACTCGCAGTCTCAGTCGTCGTGTGACCGTCAAGGCCTTCCCTGCGCCGGGCCCGAGATTCTCGACTATGACGGCGATGATGGCAACCAGACGACGCTGAACCACGTCCTTTGGATGATGGATCTCAGCCCCAATGTCACTGTCGCCGACGTCATGAACACCAACAGCAGTTCAGTGTGCCTTGAGTATATTTGGTAATTGTCTTCAATGGCCGCATTATTGCAAGAGAGACAATAATACCTTGATGTCATGTTTTGTTTTCGGGTCAGGCGGTGGGCATTACATGTCGGCGGCATATCCCAATGTAGTTTCAGGAAGAGCTTGATGGGTCTCGACGGGTCTTGACCTCGAAAGAGGACCCTAATCTCTAATTTTCTCAACTGTATATAGTTTTAGCAATTGAATTGTCCCTATTGTCTTGTATAATATCCAGCACTCTTACATGTTGGGCTGTGCATGCTTTTCTTGCGAGTCGAGTGGTGTCTGCCCTCGGTATGAGCTCGATTGGTTGTATAAGCGACTCCAGAATGAGAAAACGTGAAACGTATTAATAGATACTGATCGATGCCCACAAAAACGAGGGTGATTGGTTGATTTATTGAAACCAATTTGTCATCTTTTCATAGCATAAACAGGCAGAAAGACATAGGTCTTAGCGCAGTCGTATATGGAGTGCTTGTCCCCAGTCCGGATATCCCCAACACTTTTCTCGCGAAGCCATTCACGCAGACATTCGAAGCGAGGGGCCAATTGGTACACGAGTGGTTGCAGAATCTTGCGAAGTCGCTTGAACATGGCCGTATCGCCAAGGTATCCGTCAGACTTGAACCGAATGCGCTCCAGATCAATATCATAGTACAGGTGCCCTCCAGGGGCCGGTTGGAGGCGCCACCGACCAGACAATGCGTCGTTGACACTTTTAGGCGCGCCCCGGACGATAACGTGCAAGTTTTGTATATCATGAAAATAGCCGCCTACCACGTCGGAAAAGTCCTCTTCGGCGTTCCAGAGGACGTTGAAGTCGACGGCAGTGCGATAGTTGTACCCAAAGGGCTGGGGATTGAAATCGATCATATCATCATCCAGCGTACGGGAATCCTGTTCGGAGAGGAAATCAAGCCATCTCTCGGGCGCAACATATATAATGTCGGAGGCAGGATCAAAGAGACGCTGGAAGGACCAGTGCTGGGGATCATCGCATGCCGCCTCGGGTGCCCTGTCATTGTGACGCCACACTCGGTAGGGTGGGTCGCGCAGCCAGGCCCGCGCGACGGCATGAGACTCGCGATTGACGAGAATCGCGGGGATCTCGAGGCGTGCACCGCTGCGTAGTAACTCGTGTCGGAAATACATTTCCACGTTGGCAGTGGGGTCTGAGCGATTGAAACGAGCATCGCCATCATCAATCTTGCGATGTTCCCAGAGCCCAGTGATGTAAGGGTACAACGCTGGCTCAATGCTCGGCAAACTGTGCTTCCAGACTAGCATCCGCAGCTCGGGAGGAAGCTTTCCGAATTGCGGGAATGAAGAAGGGTCAGTGGTAGCTTCCGACATGATTCATTCAGTTTAATGGATGAAGATTGTAATGAGAGAAGACGAGGAATGTGATATTGAGCCTGCGCAGGCCAGAGGTCGACCCCCGTGTCAGATCTTGTGATGACGGTTTGCCGCAGCTTTTCCCTGTGGGATCAATTGCGCATTTAGGACAAGATGCGCGGTGCCCCACTCTTCTTTGTCCGATTCTCCAAATCCAAGTGTCCGAAAGCATGCCTCTCCTTCAGTTGGTCCGTCCCTACCTAGTCAAGTCGAGGAGAAATCGGACAACGTAGGCCATCTCCTGCAACAATTCATCTATCTCCCTAGGGCTCGTCAAAGTTGATCCTATCGATGAGGCAAAAGACGGTCTCGGGTCTCTTCATCTGTCGCAGAATCGAACAAAGACGTGAGAAAATGCCTCCAGCTTGCCATTGTCCATCGTGCTGGCCGAATCATCACTGATGAAGCTGAGATTAAATCGCAGTTGTTGCAGAAGCTGGATAAGTAGGCTCATAATTAGCGTTCGAGCCTGGTACGGGGGTATGTACCTTGATGTAGGCAGTCATAATGGAAGAAAAGAACACTACAGCCTCTCCCGTCATGCTGGTGGAATGGACTTGTTGATATTCCATGTATAATAACCAACAATATCTTTGATTGTTCTCAGCATTGTGATTCAGAGTCTCGTGTTTCCATCGGCAGCCGTACGTCTAGTAGAGTACATCTCAATATAACTTTATACACCTGGTCAAACTGTTTTTAATTGTATTCAACCCCCGTAAACTTAGTCGCAGACTTTCTTGTATAAGGACGTGTCAAGGTGGACGTACGTGATATAAAAATGTCAAAATTCTGAAAATGGGTTTGTGTGGTCGGTGTCTGGGACAAGGCTGGACATCCATTCTACAAGATCTACATTACCTTCCATGAACTCTGTCATTCGAAGCGCCTTTTTCTCAGGATATATCTCTCCAGCATCGATGAGGACTTTTAGAACTTTGAAGAAGTCGCCTACGTTAATCAAAGCTTCATCGCCTATTTCAAGCAATCATAAGGTGCCGACTTTGGTCCTCGAGCTCGTGAGAATCTGTGGCGGGTTGACAGATTTAGTGTATCCAAGATTTCCAACACCCTCACTTCCAGACCTGCAATTCATGATGATCCAGTGCCGCCTCCACGCAACCACGAAGCGCTGAATGCAAGTCAGTTCTAGAACCGGTACACTCCCATAAGGCAGTTGTATGGATCTCTTTCGCCGCAGAACTATCCCGAGCCTTACGGTCACAGCGGCCAAGCACCATGGGGTCCTTTGCCTCCAGAGAAGTATGACTATCGCGATGTTCCCAGGGAGGGCACGAGCCACGATCCATCGGAGGATGCCCCTGTCCAGTCAACGAGTCTGGGCTTTCGAAGTGAAGAATGCAATGTTCCCCTGTACTTTCTCGCCACCGACTGTCTCTACTCAATGGTCTGGCTAGAGCGGAATGGCTGCAACTGCAAAGGTCAAGCCCCTACTCCGCATGGCACGGGTCACAATCAAGGCGATCGCCGTGCTACTAGTCTTTCATCATTACCACGTACAGACTAGACATGGATAGACAGCAATAAAACAGATTGTATTCTCAGAAACGGACACATTTGTGACATTGGGCTAGGCAAATGAGGCAGTGTCAAGGATACTGTTGTGGTTTTCGCATGAATAAGATGTTCTTAGACTATAATCACTTTGTGGCGTAATATTATTCTGTGTGTGCATGAATCTTGGAAATGACACGCTTCGAGTTTCATTCTTTGCTAGTTTTCTTGCCTGCCACCACTCTCTTTTGGCAGTTGGTGCTAGCATCAATGTGATCAAAGTGCGGAGTTGGGAATGCAGAGTGTGCTAGTCAAGGCGGCGGCGGCAACGTGAAGCGTTATTGAGCGTTTCTGGCAAAGATGGGAGAGAAAGCCGGTTCCCTCTTAGTTACACAGTAAATAGCTATAATGGCCTCAACACGTTCTATGCACTTTGTAGTCCCTCGTCGTTGCCACAACCATTGATTAATGGTCCACGCCAGCATCGTTCTAGCGGGCAACGTCGTCTTGTAGCTGCCGGCACCAAATTTGAGTCGGTAGCGGACGGGACAGGTCCGCAAAGGGACCGGGTAAGATACCAAAGACAAAGACCCAAAAAAGTCACAACTAAGTGGTCAATGGCTACCACTTGAATAGGTAAGTATGTACATAATTGTATACTAGCCAGGCCGTTGAACAAGCCATCATTTGAGATGAAGTGCATTCACTGGCTTGGGACTGGTCAATCGGCAATGCAGCAATTTGTTTTCCAGAATAGGAGACCGCTAGCACCGATGCCAATCCCATCAATAAGGTTTGACCGATGTATGCTGGTAGTATGAACTAAAAACTGTCACTAAAAGTGCCTGATCCGCCTCGTCGGGATTGTGGATATCGAGTCAATGCTTTCATGATTTTTAACTGAATGATGATGCCAACGTGCTTCTGTTGCCCTCGTTCCAGACAAATGCATCACGGTTGGAACTGGAATCTGTCGGATTGCTGATTACGCAATACTTGGATCGAGAGGATCTTGATGCTCTTTTCTCTCCAGGTTGTCCGCACTTGAAGGGGGATAACCGCTTCTCACTAAAATTGTATACAACTAGTAAACGTTGATGGCTTTCATGATCCACTATCCTTAGTATAGCAGCACAAAACAGGGGGTAAAGTTTCCACTAAGACGCGTATGCACTAGGTTAGGGTAACGGGAGAGGCCAAGGACTAGAATTCCATGTCAAGTGAAATACAAGATTTATTAAAATGAAGATCGACCCCAGGTTTGATGGAAATCTTAAGTTTCCGGATCAATCATGGCATTCTCTTTTTCAGCCACAGCTTTTCCCATACCAGTCAAGGATGGACACTGGCCAAAGGGACCCGGGCTGGCTGCCGGATACTGACTCGGCTCCCCCGCTGGCACCAAAATCGGACGACACTGCGCCAGGATATCCTAGAGATCGACCCCATGCAACGTCTCCCCCACTCGGAGATCTTCAGTGTACGGGATCTTCGCAGTGCATATCCGAGGACCCACAAGCCGTGATCGACTGCCCAGATTGGAGGAATACCTTGCGAGGATGACTGATCAGAAAATGTGTAGCGAAAAGCTACCATGAGGTCAACAAGTTTGACTCGTAATGGTACCATTGTATAGCATAATAGAAAGTACTTTAGTTTAGGAGAATATGCTCTGCGGTAGTCTTGGGGTTATAAGTCCTGGAGAGCCAGCATGCATTACCGGGACTCGCCATGCATCCTTCCCTACTAACATCGGGATATATCCCCTGACATTCTTTCAACATGGCTCTTGGAGGAAAGGGACCGACTGTCATTGTGATCCTGGCGCTTGAGACGGCAGTTGCTGGTCTCTGCGTTGGGGGTCGTTATTATACCCGCCGCGTTCTCAAGGCTGGTGGTGGCGATGACGATGTCGTGCTCATAGCCAGCTGGGTAAGTCATACACTCAACGATGACTATCATGACCTTTAGAGGTTCCCTCTTAGGCATATAATGGATGTCTTTCTGATTTGGTTTTCGCTTGCAGGTCTTCATGCTGGTTTTCGCCATTTTGTTCATCATCAGCTCGTTATATGGATTCGGTCAGCACAATACGGATCTCGACAAAGACGATATCAAGCTGGCAACATTGTATGAGCTTTGTGGGCAATCTGCAATTGCCATTGCTATGGGTCTTAGCAAGTGTGGTGTGGCTTTGTTCCTTTCACGTATTGCCAATGTTAAATGGTGAGCACCCTTTACTACTTTTTCATACTCAATCTTTTCCTGTCCTGTGGGCTAGATCGTATGATTAAATGACATTACCTGAATCCCTCTCTTGTTTCAAGTCTAACCAATTTCTTCTAATTTAGGCAAAAATGGGTTCTTTGGGGATGGATGTTTACCATCATGTTCCTCTCCATATTTCTCGCCATCTCAGTATTTGCTCAGTGCTATCCCACTCAGAGCTTGTGGGATGCCAATGTGAAGTCACAAGGTTGTTCAATAAACCTGACGATCTTAGCATTCGTCATGTGCTGTGAGTGAAATCCGCTCACGTTTCTTGCTTCATACTAATTTCCTGTCCAAAGCCTTTTCTGCCGCGATGGATTTCTTTCTGGCCTTTTGCCCCTACTATATTCTTAAGGATCTAAATATGAATCCTAAAGAACGATGGACTATTATTATTTCACTATCACTCGGCGCCATGTAAGTTGGGTTATATGGACTTCATGCATGCAGTTATTGACACCGTCTTTCAAGTGCAGGAATTTTTGGTATTGTTCGAACAGCCGGTCTAAGCGCAATCTCCAATACCGCTGACTATTTACGCAAGTCGCCATTAGCTCTACAAAAAGACATTTCTGCTGACAGTTCGACAGACGCCACCGCTGATTCGGTCATGTTCTCCTCCACAGAGCTGGCCTTGACTCTCATCTGCGTCTCCCTTCCCGTGTTCCGACCCCTATTCAAGCGACTCGCAAGCACCCGTTCATCGAAACGATCACCCCTCGACGGCCACTCCCACCAAGGTAGCTCCAGAGGTCTAGGCACCGTCAGTCGAGTCTGGAAGGCATCCAATGGCCGTTCCAAATCGCGCGAAAATGAATACGGCATGCAAAGCATAGCAGAAGCGGGGGTTGGCGGAGTAGCGGATCAATCCGACGAAGAGGGGAATGAATCTGCGTGGAAGGACAGTGCCAGCGACAGGAGCATTCTTGCCGAGAAGCAGGGAATTTCCCGCAAGCAAGAGTTCAGTGTCAGCTACGAGGAGCGAGGCCAACGACCAGGGCCGCAATAACGCAATGGGGTAATTCTAAATACATAACCACATCGCCTGAAGAGGGGCAATCGTCTTAGAAACAATGCTGCAGCAAACAGATGGCTTCTTTTCTAACATATCGTACTTTTCGAATCCGGGAAACACTTTACTGTACATATATATTTACATTTACAGCTACCACAACTTCATGTAACATTATTTCTTGACAAAAAGCTCAGTGGACGCTTTATATCATTTGAGAATGAACCTGTTGTAAAATAAATGCGTGAAAATGGTTAGGCTTGTAGGTTGAGCGATATTGAAAGCATTGCACGGACAACAAGTCCAGACATGCCACCATTACACTGTTTGTCTCGTGTTTTACAAAGTATGAGGTACCTGCCTAGTGAAATGTACAGCGACAAATGATATCTGAACGCGAACTTGAGCGTCAGGTGCATGGTCACTTGGTCTTGGTGCCGGCGGTCTTGGGCCAATGTGAAGTACTAACTTCCAATATCACACATGCGGCAACAGTCATGGAACAACTAGTAACGCGCCATCTCATCTTGACCAACCTGCATCAGTTCAAATGACAAGTTAAATGTGCCTACATAAAACCGAATCGCTGCATTAAGTCCATGACAAGGCGAACATTCCTATTGCTCAGTGACGGATCCCGTGAGGCTCTGCGATTGTAGTGCAGTGTCGCTAACCATCTGTACAACTCTCGCGCCACCTCCGAATGATGCCAGGTTCCAACAAAAACCAGGTATCTACTCTTCCCTGTTCATTCTGCCAGCGAAGTGCTCTTGATCCAATCAAAACCGTGTTTTTCTCGCCTTCCGTTAGCCAGCAAACACGCCGAGTGTGGCTGTTGCGCAAAGAAATTCGAAATAACGATTCCATATAGGGCATAATTACATTGAGATTGAGGACTTGCTGCTTCACTACTGCATTGAAGGCTGCTAGTTGTAGTTGCCTCTCCTTGTCCTGTAACTTCTTTGCAATAGCCCGAAGATTGTCGGGGTCCAACTGAGACCATTCTCCAAGTACCTCAAGAGCTTTGCTTACACATTTCGTGTCAGAGGCTTGCAAGTACAGGACAATATTTTCAATAACAGCTTTTCGAGGCTGAGGCCACTTTTGCAAGGTTGCCACAGCTGCGGAGCATACATGGTGCCAGGGATATGCTAATGTTCGAGAGAGGACAAGGTAAGCGTCGTCAGTGGGCCGAGGAAAATTTTCCAGAGCTCTGAGAAGATATCCGTGATATTTTTCTCCTGCATTCTTTTCAAAGAGGACGCTTTGCAGATGATCAATGATTATTTGCAAATAACGAACCTCTGTTGAAGACCAATTATTCAATGCCCTGGCGACAGCTTCCCGCACAGAGGGCACTGGATCTTTCAACCCATTCATAATGACATCAAAAAGAGAATCATAAGTGCCATCACTTGGGTGCAGTATTGTGAGGATTTCATATGTCTTTGCTCTGTTCTCCCAATTGCTGCTTTTCAAGCATGACCCGAGCAGCAATTGCATGATCTCCGGGCAAGCATTACGACATAGCTCAGGTCGTCTCTGCCATTCGTCGAGAGCATGACTGCAGAGCCCAGGATGCTGGAGACATTCTGATATTAGATCAAAGCCGATGTCGTTGAAATCTAGGCGGCTCCATAGTACTCTTAAGGCTTCTTGACGGACGGAAAGATCCTGATCATACCATAGAATGGATTTGAAGAGATCAATGTCCTCATCTCGAAATAGATACTGAGCTCCAAGAAGAGTAATAGCTTCTTTCCGCGTGATCGAGTCGTTATCTGTAAGATTTGCCCCGACAGCTTGGAAAATTTCTGCGTCAATATTGGGCCACTTCTGCAGCGGTCTTATAACTGCCCTTCGAATCATTGCATCTGAGTGCATCAGCTGCGCTATGATGAATTTCTTGACTTCGGAGGGCAGGGGATGCCAAGACCCAAGCACTTCAAGCACTGCTTCCCGAGTGTGCAGCTGTGGACCGTCTAGCCATGGCGTGATTGTTTTGAGGATGAATTCATTGGGGCAGTGTGCTTTGACTGATCTGACTGCTGCACGTCGAACTTGCGCGTCCTGATTCTGAAGCTGCGTTGAGATGATGGCTAGGACATCCGTCGGTAGGCTTGGCTGTCCTCCAAGTAACGTTATGATCGACGATGCTTCTGGATACATTCCCCACCCCGTGAAAATGCTGGAAGTGTTTTCTTGTAGATCTAGATTTGTTTCATCTTGACTCGCATGTGCTTTCAATGTGCCTTGTAGTTGAGAAACAAGAAATTCAATAGTTTGAGGTTCCTGTCGACGACGGTGCGACCGCATTGCTAGGAAAAACTGCGCTCGGACCAATTCTGATTCTGATTCCAGAGAAGTGACTTGTTGTTTGAGTTTCTCCAGGATAGACGTTTTGTCGCCAGACATGAGAAAATCTACTAACACTGCGATAGCCATAACTTGGACTGTATTACCGTAACTGATTTGCTCTTTGATAATTCCGAGAATCTCATCATTCAAAATAGTCGACTGCGCCAAACGTATGGAGAATAGTAAACCGGTTCTCTCAAGACAGTCAAGATCATCTCGGAGCGAAGAATATATCAAACGCAGTGCTGTGACAGGAACCATCCCACGGAACATGATTGATCTTAGAACGGTACGTCTCAATTCATCTGAAAACGATCTGAGTACTCTCAACAGAGGCTTTTCGGGAAATTCGACTTCCTCTATAACGCTCACAGAATCTGTGAGCTTGAATTGTTCCATTGCTGCTCGGTAGAGTCTGTCTTCAAAGTTTTGACGTTCGGCGAGGAATTTGGTGTCGTCAGGAGATACCTCGTTCCAACAATGCATGAGAAGTCGCTGATGGACTACACCGATCATGTCGATTGGCTCTGTTTCAAGCGTTGGAAAGAATTCTTCCAAGCCATGATCTTTTAGGCTCAGTAGACCTGTGACAAAACGCCAGAAAACATTATAACGATCGTCATATTTGTATTCTTTGATGAAGTTGGAAGCAGAACTCGATAGCTCGTGCTTACCACGTTTCAAAGTGTCACCGGATATCCATTGCCTGACGAAATATCGTGCTGCAAAGTATTCTTGGAATGTCAGATGTATAAAGTGATAAGTCGGGTCCGGAATCAACAATTCATGGGTACGTAAGATGGAAAGACCCTCTAGCTTGCCAGCCTTGAGGGGTTTCAGGGTGGGCATGGCCAGAATTTGACTTTCCGTAAAAACGATACTGTCATCAACCATTCCTTTGAAGGCTAGTATCTCCAGGCAAGCGACCTCGTCTTGAAAGAAGATTTCTAGCTTGTCTAAGGGATAGTTTTGAACATCTCTTCGTGTGAGTTCCTTGCCGAACTGGCCCAAGCGAAGAAGATCTTTCTTCCATAGAATTTTCATAATGGCCTGATAGATGTTGGTCATAGTCTCGAGTTTGAAGTTGCTTTGCAGGCTTCTGTGATCATCATCCCATATGAAGCAGAGTGCATCTAGCTGAATGGGTATTCGTACAAGCTGCTGCAGGAGCTTATGCTGGCGTAGTACAGATCGAAGGCCGTCGACTCTGTCCCACTTCGTTCCTTTCACCTTTGAATGTGTGAATACTTTTTCGATGTAGGAGTCTACTTGCTCCCGATAGAAACCAATAGTCTCGAGCTCTAGATCGAATCCTTTGCTAAGATCACCCGGGAGACTAACACGTGGTCGGGAAGTGACGATAGAAGCCGGCATGGTCAAAAGCTCTTCCAGGATATCGTGAAGCCAGTGGCCTCGTTCTAGAGCATCGTAAACTTCGTCCAGGCCATCAAGAATAAACAGAGTTTTCTCATCTTTGCCATTTGATACTTGAGAATGAAGTTCTGTTGCGAACATTCTTCCCTTATCCAGTGTTTCTCGGGAGAAGAATTCTCGGAGAAACAACGCTTCCAAATTGTGATGTTCCAGTAACTTCAGATTTCGTAAGGGTATCCATAGAATACGATCAAAAGTGTTGTTCCACATTTCATTTCTTGAGAATTCGTACACCATCTTTTTGCACAAAGTGGTTTTTCCGACGCCGGCTTGTCCTCGTATCAGAATTTTTCTGGGGCCAACTTCACGACCAGCATGGTCTTTTCGACGATCAAAGAGTTTCAACAACTCAACCTCCGAATTCTTGTTGGGACTCTCGACATTGAGTCGTCTGAATAGTGAAGATTGTGACGAAGATGTCGGGTCCTTCGACTCTGATCCATTGTTCCTGGATGGCTGATACGTGATGGCGAGATTAACATAGCACTCGCTCATGCTTAACTCATCATCCGAAATACGAACAATTTTGAGTCTGTTGTCGTTATAATGTCTTTTATTGATGTATTCGTATGCCCGGTGTAGTAGTCGCCCTTCGCGGATGGATTTGGCCATTTCTTTGATACTTTCGGCAACAATTTTGTAGTCATCATCGCCAGGACCACGAAAATTGTTCATTTTACCATGAGTCCGGTTCAGAGGCTTTCGGTTGCGCACGATATCCAGAGTCGCAGAACTCTCGGGGACCAACTAAATTAACAAATGGGAATTAAGAATATGTCTCACATTATGAGTGCGCCAGGCTACATACCAGTTTCTTTTCTTTGAAAATTGAAAATCGAAATGAACCAACTCTACGGAGCAATCGACTTTTTTCATTCTCAAAAAATGTTGCCATAAATGGGCCGTCTCTTTGACAAAGCCTTGTGAAATCTCCCACCAGCTTTGTAAGTTCGGAGCCCTCTTTTATTTGGCCGAGAAGATTGGAGACTGCTTGAGCTCGCAAGGAGGCCCATATTCGAAGACTCGGTTCGGCCCAGTGCGCGACATCGGCGAAAGCTGTCCCTCGAAATGGCGTCGCAAGAAAAACGATTCCACGTGTCGCTTTCAGGGTCGGAGAATCGTTACATTTCATCCCTTCTTCGACAAGTGCCTTCATGAGCATGACACCACCGAGACATGAGGCGATGAAGAGAATCGGCGGTCCTTCGGCTTGAGTGCAACCTTTTGCTGGTGGACGAGATTCGATGCCATCAAGCAAGCCTTCAGCAAATTTGTCGAATGTCTTTTGAACAAAATCCGAACTCTCAAAAAAGTCGGATGGCCAGTCACAGGTGAAAATCCGAGCTGATCCGACTACACCGGGAAGCATTTCTGGATTTTCGAGCCAGTTGACCCCTGGCTCGTTCGCTGTGGACTTGTAAGTCCACGTGTCTGGCGAACGCGCATCGAAGCCATGTATAGCGATAACATCGAGATCAATGTTGGTATCTTTATTGATAAGAGGATTGATTTGATCCAGGCGAACAGGTCGAGGGCGTGAGCTGGTTGTTGTTGGATCGTCTGTCGGGACTGAGGATGGTGTCGCGGAAACATATCGGAATCTATTAAGGAAATTCTGGACAAGAAAAAGAATGATAATAGTAAAGACGACCACGTAAGTATCCATAATGAATGGTGCCAAACAGAAACAGTAGGCCAAGTCGTCGGAGCAAGCACTACGGCTCAGCCTGCCACATGCAGACTCAGTGTCAGTCGCACGAGTCACTACCATGTGATCCTGGAACTGGGGTCCATGAAGACATCAGCAACGAGCGCTGTTCAGCGTAAAATGTTCAGTTGCAGCATGTCACGTCTATAGCAAGTCGCAAATGCATGTTCATTTTTTTGACATGTATCTTACAAATTGCTTCGATGGCGGTCGCCAGTGCGTAAGGCTGCGCGCGGGGTAGCAGAGTGTTGCCAGTATGGATTCGTGTCAGCAATGTATCTTCAATGTGTACCCACCTACCTGCCGAATATGCCTTGCCAATTGGGCGTAATCTGTACATGCACAAGGTACATCGCCACGGTGGTGGTCGCGGGTGGGGTTGGTTGGTTGGTCGGTTGCACGAGGGCATGGTTCTACCACGAGCTATCCAACACTTTCATCAAAAGCCATTCTGGGTTTAATCAGTTTATTGCAAATTTCGGCTGATTCTGGATTGGGTGCATTTAAGCTGCGAACAAGTGGGTGAAGATTACCACAATTCTGTGAGGTCATCGTGGGAATATCGTAGTTCGGCGGCTTGGAAGATGCACACACTGGAGGGACACTGGAGACCACCCCCGCACTGAGCTGGCATACATGCAGTTAATTCTCGCCATGTTGTTCACGCTCTTACCTCGTACACACAGCACATCCACGCTTCGCCACAGTACCTAACTCGTAGGCAAGATTTTTATTTTGCGAAAGTGCCCAATCCCCCCCTTCTCTCATGGCCAGTCATTGCTTTTTGCCAGCGCGCATCCTGCAATGTTTCTAGCCATTACTGTACAGAGTAGACCTTGAATGCAGCAAGTTCCTAAAATAAATGTTTGGCAACGAGGGCGCTTCGCTTGCCCGCCCCATAGGCTAAATTTCTCAGTCATTTCCCATGCCGTGCTACGTGATTTCGGAGGCGATAAAAAAAAAAGATTCATCTTTGGGCATTTGTGTCGCATGAGTTGCATCTTTTCTCACTTTGAGCGATTGTCCATTTGCACTTCCATTCCGAATCTGCCTCAGGCGTCTCATCTCAGGCAGCCAATGAGTATTGGCAGACTTCCCACTGTGAAGAAAATGAATCCACTACCTTGCCCGCCATTGTGCCCGGTACGCCAGTCGCTCGACCATACGCTCCACGTCAATATCTGACTACTAATATTTTTCCCAGTTCGAAACCGAGCTATTGACTGATAACAACGATGATGCCGACAATTTGCCTGCAACCTATCACTATTACGAACAAGTTCGGAGATCAAAAAAACACCGCCATGTCGCAAATCCTGCACGGGGTATTGAGAGTTTTCTAGATACTGAGTTGTCCTTGGGGAATCTTGTGAATATATCAGGCCTTTTATGGTTTGCGGGAGCAAAGCACCCAGCCACACAGCTACACATGCATATGGCAATGGGACGCAACATTGTAGTCGCGGATCGCATGGACTTGCATCTTCTCTGGGATCACAACTCCATCTTTCTCAAGCCTCTTCCAAGATTCCTACTCGATCCCAAGTTCTGGCAAGAGAATTTGCAATGCTCGGGTGCATGTGCATGCCGATTGCCTCGACCCTCAGCAGAGCATAATAACTCGACCGACCTGCTGGCAGAAGGAGAGAATGCGACGCGAACATGTCGGGAAAAGAGTCTCCGACTGATTGCCAGGGGCTTTCTGCACAGTTACACCTGCCTCATTTCCTCCGAGACTGACTTTGCCATTGCCAACGAGAAGCGACTCTTACCTCGAAATGCCAAGGACGTGCCCGTTGATTGGAGACTGTGGAAGTCGCTGGCCAGAGAACTCATAGAAAAGTACAATCCCCAAGAAGTCCATTCGCGATTCTTGCGCGCAGAGCTCCGTGTAACCCGCGTCAACTTTGTCTACCGCCTCGCCAGCCTTCCATTCTTTGGTCCGCCTTTGAATAGCTGGAATAGCTATAGCAATGTCTTTCAGTACAATCTCGCGTGGATGGCGGTGGCTACCGTCTTTGTCGGTCTAGTTCTGACGGCCATGCAGGTTGGGCTGGCAACCGAGAGGCTACAGGGTAATGCCGACTTTCAGCGGGCATCGTACGTCTTTACTATTTTTGCCATCTTGGCCCCGATAGGTGCATTTGGTCTGGTGGTGCTCGGCGTGCTGCTCAACCTTGCGATGGACCTTCCCTGGCTTGTTCGGGATGCCCTTGGATACTCGTCCACCGATTCTGAGCTTTGAGCACCCACGTCTTTATGAAGAGCTTCACATTGTGGCAGCAAGCGGGAAGCTGGCTAGATGGTGTATTGTTGTCCACGACAAAATTACCAGAGTCATTTGTGATTACTACACTTGGCGACAACTTTTGCAATAATGTAGTTATCATATAAGGGTCAAGTAGAACTAGAAGATATGTAGAATGCAGCGTTCAAAGTATGCCATTACGAAACACCGATCCATGGCATAGCGACACCAACCTTAAACCACTAGGGCTTGCAGATAATAAATCCTGACTGGCCCTAGTAGTCCGATCAACTGAGCATCCAAGCTGCCATAGATTTCTGGCCAGGTCTGGCGTAGCTTATTCCAAAGGGTAGTTGCGACAGTGATTTCGAGACCTACATGTATTGTTAATTACGACATCCTTTTGTGCATAATTTCTGGGTTCCCACTTACTGTTGGTACCAGCGAGAACTAGACTGGTAATATCGATATCCTTGTTTCCGAACTGGTCGATGCTGGCAATCTCTTCGCCATTGAAAGAAACACCAAATGTGCCCTCGACTTCCCCGACTGAAAGGAAAACGAGAGTTGAATTGTCGGGTCGAGTCAAATCAATAGTGGTATTGTACACACCGACACCACTAGCATACTCCAACGATGTGATGTTGGGCCAGGGAATGAGTTCAGTCAGGCTTACTGTGGGCAGCCGTTCCTTGATTGTAGCTGAGCTGTTGACACCAGTGGTGTTGGGGTACTGTGGTGACCAATCTTGGACCGTTAGAGACCAGCTTGAGGGCACCACAGTTGTTGGTAGATCTTCAGCCTCCAGGGTGACTGTGCCATTCGAGGACGTGGTGGCAGTGCAAGTAGCGTTGGTAGTCACCACGAGCTGACCTGCGCTCGACACATGACTCCCACAGCTACTCGCTATGAGGTGTTCACTGAGGGCTCGAGAGTTGAATACACTATCCTCTCCAACGCTAGAAAAGCATGTTAGTGATTAGCGTCTAGTAAGATGAACCAAACATTACTTACTATATGACCACAGCCGACGTCGCTGCAACGGTAACATTGACCGTCACTCGATTGTCCGTGGAAGAATACGCAGGAATTGGTGATACAGATCCCGACCACAAGTCTATGACATAGGGGGCACCACTTCCCTCCAAGGACAGAGCCGCAGATGTCGCATCGTCTCCATCATTGTATACCCAGTACAAATATCCATCATCTTGTGTTTTTCGATAAGTAATCAGAGACGCGTTCTGTGTAGACGAATATTGAACACTGGGCGCCACAGAGAGATCAACCAATGCTCCTGGCACATCTGATGTACTGTTGACGCTTTCCGTGTTTGAGAATTCCCGGATGCTGTCAAAAATGGTTCCAAGCTGTGATGCAATCTCCTCGCCGCTCGCGTTTGTATAGGAGAAGCTAGAAGACGGGTCTGATTCGACAATGACCAATGGAAGACCACTTTGTCCGTAGGAGAGTATCAACTCTGCCGTGCTAACGTCCATGGTTGTCGCATTGTTGACGATCAAAGCTTTGTAGGCAGGGCCGTCTGAAGCCAGCCGCTGATTGGAGACTTCCACATTGTGCTGCTTCAAGAGGTACGCAGTGGGGAACTGATATGAGTATCCTGCATCATTGAGGCTGGTGTCATCCCAGGATGCGGTGACCCCGGCGTCCTGATTCAAGATTGCAACATCAATTGAAGGGCCGCTTCGCTGTAGTAGCATCTGTGCCCTCGCCAAGTAGGCGCTGGAAGAATTGGCAAACATCCACTGGGGCTGGCGCGGGCCCCAAGCGTCTGCGAATCCATTCGAGCTGGTCCCGAGGGGCGTAAAGGGAGCAAAGCCGGGCCAGACGCTAGAGGGACTGTCCTTGTAGGGGAATCCGTGAATCACAACCTGACTGACACCAAGCGACATGTCGTGATTGGCAGTGCCGAGGATGAATTTCCAAGTGACGCCGTAGGCTTTGCCCATGTAGGCTCCGAGCTCATCGGACAGAATGGTCGTTCTTCCGCCAATGTCGCGACCAGTAGCCAGGACTCTAAAGGCATCGTCGTCTCCATCGAATCCCAGCGACTCGCCTTCGGGTATATCTAGCACGCTGGCGGCGTAGCTGCTGTCAAAGGATGCGGTATATGGCTGAGCGCGAAACTTGAGGCCTAGACTATTAACCCACTCGGTGATGCCGCCAATACGGTACTCGGTGTACAGATCAGTCACAGTTTGGTAAAAATCGTTTGTAATCTGCGCAGATACCGAAGCGTCGCCTTCAAATGTGTTGTTGTCCTTGAGCACGTATAACAGGAATGGTCTCAGGTCATAACCGCGTCTGGTTTGAAACTCGGCCAAAAAGTCTAGTGTCCAATATTGTTTTAACTTGAGCTCGAGGGAATCTTCGAACATGGAACCCTGACTTCTGTAAAATGTTTAGAATAAGGGAAGAGGTTGGTGTGACTTGTTCGATTGACGTACTCGTTCAATTGTGCTTTCAGCTCCGGTGTAAGCAAGTTTTGCTCCCAGTAGTCAACGGATGCTTGCACGCCAGCCTTGCTGAGATGATCAACAATATAGGCGGGGAACGGGTCGGTCACTTTTGGAGCATCAGGGTTTCCTATATGTACGAGTCAGATCTTGGACCGAGCTTCTGGTGAGGTATCTTGCCACATGAGAAATGGAATGAGCGGTACGCAGATCAAGAAAACAGCTTACCATCATACAAATTCTGAACTTGTCCGGTGCCGCGCCCGTACGCAGCAACAAGAACGTATTCTCCATCATCGGGAGCATCGTATGCGACAGTTGTATTGTCGGCCCCAGTATCTAAAACCTGGATGGTGCTTGAATCCACGACTACAGTTCCCGAGGTTGAGTTACTTAGGACCTTGGCAACCAGCACAGCTTCCAACACTGGAGTGGCCGTGACAATATTGCTGCTTTGGTTTCCGGATGGTGCCAAGACTGGGAGAGGGAGTGATCCGGAATATGATTGTCCGGCCGAAAGGAAGAGCTGTCCATGGACAAGTTCTTTCGATGTCTCGGGAGAGTCTGGCGTATATCCAGGGACACCAGTGGGCCAGTGAGGACCCAAAGTCAAATCGACGTGGCCACCCAGTCTATTGAATAGATCGGTCAGATGAAGCGAAATGGAGGAGCTTGGAGAGTTTTTCAAACATACTCATTGCCCTTCTCGTAGGCTTTCAAAACTGCTGCGTTCCACCGTTCTTGGCCCCATCCATAGACTGCCGGGTCTAGGTCTACCTTGACGCTGTCTTGGACATCGGCGATTTCGCCACCTCCAAACCCAGCATTGACAATGGCAGTAATCTCATCCGCGACTTCATCAGCATCGATCCAACCCCCAGGCCACCACCATCGGAACCTGGGCGATTCGTAGAGAGAAGGTATGTCGATGCTACCTGTCTGATCGTCTCCGTCGCCTTGAGCAGCCACTGAGATTACCAGACCAGTCAGCACTGGCAGAATCCAATGACTAAGAAGCTTCGGATGCATCTTGCGGAAGAACAAGGAAAACAGTAAAGATCAAGCTATTATTGATTCACTGGCAGCCGTGACGAAGTACTCGAGTCAATCATTTTCAAATTCCTAATTGACGAAGACTATCTCGATAGATATATGACATGAGCCGGACATATGCTAGAGTTTACGAGTGGCGATCTATCCATACGATCTTGGCTTCGCGAAGATTTATACCGAGATGGATATATAAGCACTATTCCATCATAGCTGAAAGGCGGATGAGTTCTCCGGTGGGTACGTTAACAACACTAATAGAATGTTGGAGACAAAGAGTTGTTCTCGATTGCTTCCTTGGTTCTGTTTGTCGATAATCCACATTGTCGATAGGCCACCCCTTAGTGCAGATACTCACCCACTTCCCGGTTTCTGGGCATGTTGCATTTTGTGGGGGAACGATACATGTATCTTTTGCGGGGGAGTCTTACAGGGGGTTGTTTTTTTGCGGGGGTGGAGAGCCGCATTTTGAACCCTTTACGAATGTATCAAGGTGCCCAAGTAGATGTCTTGTTTGGGATCGGTCAGGAGACCACGAGCGAGCATTTTCGGTGTTTCGGTTCAAAGTTCAATCTACATGCCCTGCCGCCCCGCCTGATTCTATGCAGAAGGGCGGGATTTGTAATGTTAGTCATCCAGATTATATCTGTACCATTCTTGTCATTTCTCAGCAGAGGCTGACCGTCAACGTTGCAACCCTCGATTCGGCCCAAAATGACCTTGAAGTATGTAACGGCAATATTGCCTATCTTGGCTCTCTGACCGAGGTATCGTTTGACCTCAGCAAATAGGGAACCCGTTTATCCGGGTGCCCACCAGGCCTTATGCATCGATAATATTGGATTGCTTTTAATCATCACGACGGTCTTAGCGGGCTTAAGGCTTTATATTAAGCCGATACGCTAATTAAGCATAGCTATCCTAAATAAAAAATGATTAATTTCGGGGATTATAATAAACCAAGCTTTTATTATACGTAAATAATATAAAAAGGGTTAAATAATTAAATAAAAATACGATTTTAATAAGCTTAATTACGGAATAAAACTTATAATTAATATACGTGTCACGTATCCCGTTAAATTAATTAATAAGAGCTATATGTTACGGACATGCACCTTTGCGGGACGAATGACCAGGGAAGGATAAGTACGGGCTAAGAACACGGCCACGACGGAACGGGGAACAGGACCACCCACCAGGGGTCACGTGACCCGGATCACGTGGATCAGGAATGTGTGCTCAGGAGTGCTCAGTTGAGACCAACTGAGCAGAGGTTAGCAACACTGAGCAAACATGATTAGGACCAACATTAGTAAGGGAATGAATGGATATATTAGGGACGGATTTCCTACGGTTACATAGATAGTCATTACCTCAGTGATTAATCTAAGCATTTATCTTACCCATAAGTGAAGCATTTAATACGCTTTAACGACTACACTTGTGACATTAGTTTAAAACCATATTTAGTTACTCTTTGCTTAGTTTAATATCTTATTTAACGTTCCTTATTAGCATAAACCCTAACACCCTTATATTTAGGTTTATTTTAAAAACCCGTAATATAATCGTTATACGATTTAGCAAATATATTAATAATTATAATATTATTTGTTGCACGGATGTTAATACAGCATCGTATAGTGCATAAAATTAGCTTTATAACGCATATTATATCGTTATAACAGCTATAAAACCCATCGAGATATCGTTAAATAACGATATATGGGAAATCAGTGGAACTTACCCTGTACTAACTTACAGTCAGTACAGCACCATTTACAGCCACTGTTCACAGTGCTGTACAGTCAACAAGTCATTACAGTTGACTGTTGTGGCCACTATGGCCACTGGAACCCACTGGAATCCAGTGGAACGTTCCACTGGATCCAGCCCCACTAAGTGTGGCCAGTGCACCTGGCCACAATGGCCCTGGGTTACAGGGTAACCCACACCATAGAAATCCATAGATTTCGATGGTTTCTTCGATTATAAATCAACCTTATTACTAATTAACTTAATTATAAATCCAGTTTATTAGTAATATATTCCAAAATATTCTTATTAGTTAATTTTATGGGTATAAAAGGTAGTTATTCCTTTGTAGTTAGTTATTCTTTCTTTAAGCTTCAATAAATCAGTTATACAGCCCTATAACTACTCCTACGGCCTAATTCTACGAATCATATAAACGCTTCCCTGTGCCTAAATTTATAATCTACCAATCATACCTTAGAACAGGTTATGAGCCCGGTCCGGTATAATATCGATTATATTAGGAACCGGACTTTATATCGAAAATTATAGCCGCTCTCCCAGACGAGTTAATTCAACGTAGACTCTGGAATTCCGTTATAGTAGCCGATCCTTTATAGGCCTATATATAAGCCTATATAAGCCGTAACTATATCGAAAACTATAGTTAAGTGGCTAATTATAGTAATTTTACCCGTTACAGCCATATAACGGCTATAAAGTCACTTATAACTAGTCCCCACTATAATAGCCGATCTGCTATAGCACCCTATAGCATCTGCTATATCATATTATAGCACCTGGATCCCCTTATACACTTCATCGATAAAATAAAAGAATTAATTTCTTTTATTTTTATTCTTTTAACGATTCCTTTACCGTTTTTAACGATAATTATACCGTTATAACGGCAAAAATTCGGCAAAATAGATAACTCTATCCGTACTATTGCCGGATGCCAGATGCCGGAGAAACAGAAACTCTCCGGATCCGGAAACTAGAATACGTGGAAATCCACGTTGCAGTTATATCTTAAACTGCTAGGAATCGATCGGTTTTTTGAAACTACCGATACATATAACGGTATAACCGATATTCAGAAAGCCCAGGCATTGCTTCTGATTCGTCAGAATTTAACAACAAAACCGTTAAATCTAATATTCGATAAAATAAATCCATATAAAGCCTTATCGACTTTACAATCAGCCTATCAAGGCACCGGACCCGTATTACGTCAGCAATTATATCTCGAATTTCACACTATAAAATTCGAGAATTATAACTCGTTAAACGAATTTATATCCACTTTTAAGGGATATATTTCAAAGCTTTTAAGCGTTAGGGCTAAAATCGATAATATCGATCAAAAAACGATTTTTATTGCAGCCCTCCAGTCAGCTTACCCTATATGGGCTAACCGTCAACGCAGTGCTTTACGGTCCATAAATCCACCTACCCTCGAAAGGTTAATTACGGATATTTTGGATGAAAACCGACGGGATCCGGATACGGCTATGGGAAATTCTTATTATACCGATAATAATAAGAAATCCCGGTTTCCCCGATCCAATCAGAATCAACGGGGAACCCAAAGCGGAAATAAGAAGAATTCGAATAAATCGAATAAATCGAAAAAATCGAATAATTCGAATAATTCGAATAAGTCGAATAACTCAAATTCGACCACATCCACCACGAACCAGAAATCTAAGAAACGGGGAAACCTACCCCGTAACGAAGATTTAAACGAAGACGAATCGTTTCATGCTTTTTCGAATATTTCGAATAATTTGAAAAAGAAGAAATTAACCACCCTCCCCAGGGACTAGTAGTTATACGATACGGGTTCTTCAAAGCATATATCGAATAATAAGAATTTATTCGATAATTTCACTATAAAATCGGATTTTTCACCGATTATTACAGGTAGTGGAAAAGTATTTCCAAAAGGAATTGGAAATATTACGCTTTCCTTCGAAATCAACCGGGAAATACGTAAAATAACGTTATTAAACGTGCTTTACGTACCGGAATTTCCGCTAAATATTATATCCGGCCAACTACATTACCAAAAAGGCGGTATTATAAGCGGGAATAAATTATACGATTCCAAAAACAGGCCTTTTGCCACGTTAAATCAAGAAAAACGTGGATTTTTCCTGCACCTAGCTAATAAATCAAAGCCTAATATGGCATATTTAGCCATAAATCCACTAAAAGTAGTAGAAAAAGCCCGTGTGATCGGTTCAAGTTACCCGGAACCGAATTCGGATACGAAATCCAACGAAACCACGGATTTCGAGGAAATCGAATTAATTTCTAATTATTCGAATTTCCTTACAGCTACGGAAAAATGGCATAAACGACTTAGCCACCCTAGCTACGATATTTTAGCTAAAACAGCTAAAATAACTACGGGGATTCCTAAAAAGGAATTAAAAAAGGAGGATTTAAACTGCGAATCCTGTATTTCGGGAAAATTCACCCGAAACCAGCCCCGTACGAATCCGAATAGGGCTAATAAACCGTTATATCGTATTTATATCGATACGGTTTATATTACCCCCTCCAGCTACTCCGGTTATAAATATATAACTGGTTTTACGGATAATAAAACCGGATTTCGGGAAATTAAGTTTTCCAAAGAAAAATCCGATATATTCGATATCGTAACGAATAAAATCGAATATTACAAAACCCAATTCGGAAAATATCCGAATATTATTCGCATAGATAACGGCAGGGAGTTTTCCCTGGTTAAATTAAAAAATTATTTAACCGAAAAAGGGATTATTTTCGAACCTACAACTCCTTATACACCAGAACAGAACGGTGTAGCCGAACGTACGAACCGGATTATTATCGAAAAAACCAGAACGGTTTTTATCGATTTACAACTCCCGAAAAACCTCTAGGAATTCGTTGCAAAAGCAGTAGTTTATTTAATAAATTTCACTGCTACGGCATCCGGTCCACTTACCCCCTACCAGGAATTTTACGATTATTTCTGGCCAGAAAGGGATAATACGCCTAATTTATCCCAAATCCATGCCCTAGGAACACCGGTTTTAATTTATAAACCGAAAGAAATCCGTAAAAACTCCGATAAATTCGGAGTTACCACCGAAAACAGGAAAATAATTAGATATAACAATAATAAAATCTATTACGTATATCTTCCCGATCGACCGTATAAGTCACAAATTATACGGACCTCCCAT